TGAACTCGGAACCTTCTGATTGCGAGCCGCTCGCTTTAGTGTTGAGCCACCACCTGGCCGGATGTGATTGGTCGTCAGTCACGATCATCCCTTCATTTTAAATGATTGCATGATTAGCGCGGTTGGCTACGTACGGCGATACGTCGCCAGCCATGCGTTGGCGTTAATAGGTGCTCGCAGACATCACCTTCACCAACAAGTCTGTAAGCGATACAGGGAGTGTTGATCTGGCAGTTGTGCTGGTGGTGATGGTGATGGTGCTGGTAGTTGTGATGGCAGTGAAGGTGGAAGTGGCACGTGCTGTGTAATTAATGTAATATTTCAATTTGCAATATACTTTTAAGTGCCGTGAATTTTCAAATTCAACAAGAGCCATCAATTTTCACCAGACTTGCAACCGATAAAAAAAATGTGTTGCAATTCACACATTTGGGTGAGAATTTAAAAAAAGCTAATTCCCTTCGGGCGACAATGTGTGAATAATTCAGTGCCTTCCCATGAAATGTTGATTATATGGAAATTAATTATATGCCTATAATCCACCCACCTCCACCCTACATCCCTACCCCCGTCTGCAGCTGAGACCTCCTAATCCATGCCTTTATCGCACACCACCTCGACAAGTCTCAACGCCCCTCTCCTCTGTGTCCTCCCCAAACCCATCGCCAAAACAACTTTCATTCTCAGCCTTTTCTCTCCCCCCGCCCCCACGCTCGACAAATGAGCTTTGCGCTTCCCCTAATCCTCAGCAACACCTCCACTGGCTGCCAATCATCCCAGATCCTGGTTCGGCCCACAAGTTACCCTGCTGTCCTCGCCGGCGTTCACCGTTGCGCCGGAGAGCCGCGTGGCCGGGTTTGCGTCTCGTACCCCCCCGCACGTCGTTTGGCACGATGCGGATACCCCGATGCGCAAATATAAACCTAAAAACCTCTCCAGTAGCGGTGCGACTGTGGGTATCGTCCAGAACACACCGTAACGACGTATAACGACGCAATGGCCCGGTCCGCAAATACGTAGGAGACATTGCAGCGATACGCTACTCCGCTGTCTCCTGACGCGGTTATCTGGCTTGACCACCTGAATGTGAAATTGTAGTCGTTGTTCTCTGCATCTACATCAGCCGCACGACAAGAAGAAGTTTGGCACGATGTCCGACGCTTCCCACCACGTTTCGCTCGCCATGCCAGAGCTCACAGCACGGCGAGCGGTGAAAGTTCGTAAAGCTCTCCGAACAGCGACAACAAGGATAACAACAACGCACGGTTGAACGCAAAGCACGACCGTAGAGATCCTGTGTGAACTCATCACTGCCCAACCAGCACCACTCCTCTGTAATCTCGCTCGACTCTCCTCCACGCGTTTTCCGCTCCGGGCATCCGTCAAATCTACGAGTCGATCTCCGCTTAGTGCGACGTTACTCCTTCTTCTACTCCGCGGCCTACTGTGGTCTTGAACTCACTCCCCCTTGGTGTCCACGTGACCAATGCCCTACCCTTGTTTAAGTTCAGGCTCAAAACCTTCCTTTTTTCCTCTATCTATGATTGGCTGCCTGTATCCGATGTAACAAATTGCCACTGCCCTACCTTCCTACCTACCAGTGATCATTGCCTCTTCTCTCCTGTATAGTGCCTTGTAGCCTGCTCTTTCGTAACAATAACACAAGTTCAACCCGCTCATCAATAACACTAAGCTCAATATATATTAGGAACCGTTTCAGGCAATGACCCTTCTTCATAGCAGTCACTGTCTGTTTGTCTGCAATAAAGATGGCCCATTTCCCAAAATGTTGCCTATTATATATAAAATCGCATTTTATGGCGGTGTTATTGATGAATGTGTTGATTTACTGTAATTTGAGCTTGTGTACCACTGCCAATGTACTACAAAAAAAAAAGCTAAATCTTATTTACTTAAAATTCCTACACCCGAAGGAATGGCTCACTGCACATAACAATCATCAAAGGTCAACAAAAGGCCCCATCAAAAACATTATTGTATTTTATTGCCTCCCAGGCTATTAATTTGTTATTCACAAATGCATACTCGTTTCAATGAGTTTATAGACACATTGTGGAAATTTTAGGTCATATTTAAATTTAAAAGTATTTACCAAAAATTCCTTCAAATGACTGTAATCATGAAATGCACGACTGTAACACAGTTGTTGTGAGCAAGTTGAAATTAAGCTCCCGAGATTTTTGCCCATAATTCCACCAATTGCTTGGCAGCACTGTTGATCGGAACACCCAGTGGGGCATGGCGAGTGAGCTTTTCCACTTTACGAAGGTGCCGCTGTTGCAGTCGTCCACGCGGCTGATGATAAATGCGTGGACGAGCATCTTCCGCGGTCTCCACAGTCAGAGCGCGATGGAACTGCGGCGCAGTTGCCGGAGCCTGTAGAAGCACCGTGCAGTCAGGCGCCTGATGTGAGTGGCAAATCGACGAGAACACCAAGGCACGCGGTTGCCTTATCCGACACTGGGATGTCGCAGCCGTCTATGTGGAGAGGCTCACAATTGACTCTTGACAGCTGATGGCGGGTCCCAAGTACGATGAATTTAGTCTTAATCGAGTTTAGCTTCAGATGGTTTGATGTCATCCGGTTCTTTATGTCGTTGAGACACAATATGAGGCTTGGAACGTGTGAGACGCCCGGGTCAGCTTTCGTACGGAAGTAAAGTTCTGTGTCGTCGGCATCTGAATACACGCCGATACTCTGACGGCGGGCGATGCCGTTGACATCACCGGTGTAAAGTCGGGAGAGGCCCGGGCCAAGTAACCTGTGTGACAGGTTACCGGCAAACATGACCTTTTGTGTCCGACCTGTAATGAAGGACTCAATCCATTACAGCATGGTACCCTGTATACCATAAGCAGTTCGATGTTACAATCAACCACGTCAAACACAGAAGACGGGTATATTAAGCAGAGTAGTGTGACTTCACCGCAGTCGGCTGCAATGGGTGCGTCATGGATGACCTTCAGCATTGCCGATTGAAGGCTTGGAATGAGGCTGTTTTGCTCTAGATCGGCTGTAAGCTGTCGAGATACCAATCTCTCGACTATTTTCGAACATAAATGTCAAATTGGAGATTGGCCTGTAGTTACTCTGGTCGGAGGGGTCTGCTCCAGCCTACCTCATCCGTGGTGTGACTATAGCATGGCGCCGGCTTTTTGGTAGAAAAATCCTGCGTGGAGTGAAGCATTACACATACTCGCGATGAGAGGCTGAAGTTGTGGAAGTAACTCCTTCAAAATGTGCATCGGCATTGGGTCCAGTACACAGGACTCTGTTGGACCAGCCATGATGATCGTCTGGATTTTCGTCAGCTGTAGATGGCACGAAAATACCCATCAGGGCCTGGTCTGGCGGCAGAAATGACTCAGGAGCATTGCGTTCCGTTTCTCGACAAACGGCAGCAACCTTCTGAGTGATACTAATTTAATGAGGTCCTGCACTGACGGGCAATTTGCGCTGTTTGTTATTGCGGCAGGCACTCGTTGAACGCGTTGCAGCATTTTCGCTCCGATGCGGTTCTTTTATTTGGGAACACTTTTCGCAAGATGCAGACCGTGTGCACCGTTATAGCGCAGACCGCGCGCACCGTTATAACGTGGAGTGCGTGCACCGTTATAACGTGGAATGCGTGCACCGTTATAATGTGGAGTGCGTCCGCCGTTATAACGTGGAATGCGTGCACCGTTATAACGTGGAGTGCGGCCACCGTTATAACGTGGAATGCGTGCACCGTTATAACGTGGAATGCGTGCACCGTTATAACGTGGAGTGCGTGCACCGTTATAACGTGGAGTGCGTGCACCGTTATAACGTGGAGTGCGTGCACCGTTATAACGTGGAATGCGTGCACCGTTATAATGTGGAGTGCGTCCGCCGTTATAACGTGGAGTGCGTGCACCGTTATAACGTGGAATGCGTGCACCGTTATAACGTGGAGTGCGGCCACCGTTATAACGTGGAATGCGTGCACCGTTATAACGTGGAATGCGTGCACCGTTATAACGTGGAGTGCGTGCACCGTTATAACGTGGAGTGCGTGCACCGTTATAATGTGGAGTGCGTCCACCGTTATAACGTGGAGTGCGTGCACCGTTATAACGTGGAGTGCGTGCACCATTATAATGTGGAATGCGTGCACCGTTATAATGTGGAATGCGTGCACCGTTATAACGTGGAGTGCGTGCACCGTTATAACGTGGAATGCGTGCACCGTTATAACGTGGAGTGCGTCCACCATTATAACGTGGAATGCGTGCACCGTTATAACGTTGAGTGCGTCCAGCGTTATAACGTGGAGTGCGTCCAGCGTTATAACGTGGAATGCGTGCACCGTTATAACGTTGAGTGCGTGCACCGTTATAACGTTGAGTGCGTCCACCGTTATAACGTGGAATGCGTGCACCGTTATAACGTGGAGTGCGTCCAGCGTTATAACGTGGAGTGCGTCCAGCGTTATAACGTGGAGTGCGTCCAGCGTTATAACGTGGAGTGCGTGCACCGTTATAACGTGGAGTGCGTGCACCGTTATAACGTGGAGTGCGTCCAGCGTTATAACGTGGAGTGCGTGCACCGTTATAACGTGGAGTGTGCGCACCATTATAACGTGGAATGCGTGCACCGTTATAACGCGACGCACGCGCCATTATAACGCGGTTTCTGAGCGGTCGATGACGAACTACTTTCTCGAGCTCCGCGGCTGAGCTGTGCGATACAGCACACGGATTGATGCGGTAAAGCAGTGGCGGCGGCGTTATACCCTCATCTCACTTCTTTGTCCCACCTTGGGATGACTGCTGGATAATTCTACGGTCCAAATGCGGTTCCAAGCTTCCATTCTTATTTTTGTTATTCATGCCCTGAAATGTGTGCGCAGTAACTCCTCGCCTAACGCGTTTTTCAGCACTTTTACGGAACGCATCTACTGCTCCTGCCACTACCATTGAACGATGAATCGCTGTGCATTTCTTTCATTTCCCAGGGATCACCGGGCCCAACTGGACCCAGAGGAGAACCAGGACCACCAGGACTCAAAGGAGAAAAGGTTAGCACGATTACCAATCGATCAGTGTAAGAATGTCAAACGGCTCACACCATGTCGCTACACACCTGGGCTGCTGTGCTTCGTTGATGGTGGTGCAACGTCCATATCGTCACAAGGCAGTGTCTGCATAGTTACAATGCAACCTCTGTGTAGTTGCAATGCAATGTCTGTAAGTTTGCAATGAAGCGTCTGTGTAGTTGCAATGCAATGTCTGTGTAGTTGCAATGCAATATTTGTCAGTTTACAATGCAATGTCTATATTATTGGAATGCAATCTATAGGTTATTGCAATGCAAGGTATGTGTTTTTGGAATACAATGTCTGTGTTATTGGAATGTCTGTTATTGGAATGCAATGTCTGTGTTATTGGAATGTCTGTTATTGGAATGCAATGTCTGTGTTATTGAAATGTCTGTCATTGGAATGCAATGCCTGTGTTATTGGAATGTCTGTTATTGGAATGCAAGGCCTGTGTAGTTGGAATTTAATGCCTGCAAAATTTAATGCAATGTCTACATTATTGCAATGCAATGTCTACGTTGTTGCAATGCAATGTCTATGTTATTGCAATGCAATGTCTATGTTGTTGCAATGCAATGTCTATGTTATTGCAATGCAATGTCTCTGTTGTTGCAATGCAATGTCTACGTTGTTGCAATGCAATGTCTATGTTGTTGAAATGCAATGTCTATGTTGTTGCAATGCAATGTCTACGTTGTTGCAATGCAATGTCTCTGTTATTGCAATGCAATGTCTACGTTAGTGCAATGCAATGTCTACGTTAGTGCAATGTAATGTCTATGTTGTTGCAATGCAATGTCTATGTTATTGCAATGCAATATCTATGTTGTTGCAATGCAATGTCTATGTTGTTGCAATGCAATGTCTATGTTGTTGCAATGCAATGTCTATGTTGTTGCAATGCAATGTCTATGTTATTGCAATGCAATGTCTATGTTGTTGCAATGCAATGTCTACGCTAGTGCAATGCAATGTCTACGTTGTTGCAATGCAATGTCTACGTTATTGCAATGCAATGTCTCTGTTGTTGCAATGCAATGTCTATGTTGTTGCAATGCAATATCTATGTTGTTGCAATGCAATGTCTCTGTTGTTGCAATGCAATGTCTATGTTGTTGCAATGCAATATCTATGTTGTTGCAATGCAATATCTATGTTGTTGCAATGCAATGTCTACGTTGTTGCAATGCAATGTCTATGCTAGTGCAATGCAATGTCTACGTTGTTGCAATGCAATGTCTACGTTATTGCAATGCAATGTATATGTTATTGCAATGCAATGTCTATGTTATTGCAATGCAATGTCTATGTTATTGCAATGCAATGTCTATGTTGTTGCAATGCAATGTCTCTGTTGTTGCAATGCAATGTCTATGTTGTTGCAATGCAATGTCTCTGTTGTTGCAATGCAATGTCTATGTTATTGCAATGCAATGTCTATGTTATTGCAATGCGATGTCTATGTTAGTGCAATGCAATGTCTACGTAAGTGCAATGCAATGTCTATGTTATTGCAATGCAATGTCTATGTTATTGCAATGCAATGTCTACGTTAGTGCAATGCAATGTCTACGTAAGTGCAATGCAATGTCTATGTTATTGCAATGCAATGTCTTCGTTGTTGCAATGCAATATCTAAGTTGTTGCAATGCAATGTCTATGTTATTGCAATGCAATGTCTATGTTAGTGCAATGCAATGTCTATGTTGTTGCAATGCAATGTTTATGTTGTTGCAATGCAATGTCTATGTTATTGCAATGCAATGTCTATGTTAGTGCAATGCAATGTCTACGTTGTTGCAATGCAATGTCTGTTGTTGCAATGCAATGTCTACGCTAGTGCAATGCAATGTCTATGTTATTGCAATGCAATGTCTACGTTAGTGCAATTCAATGTTTATGTTATTGCAATGCAGTGTCTATGTTATTGCAATGCAATGTCTATGTTATTGCAATGCAATGTATTCGTTATTGCAATGCAATGTCTATGTTGTTGCAATGCAATGTATTCGTTGTTGCAATGCAATGTCTACGCTGCGTTCTTCTAGGGTGGACCAGGCCTTGGTCTCCCTGGCCTCACTGGCCTCCCTGGCACAGACGGACAGACGGTACCACTCGCACCTCACCTCCTCCTGCCGCAGCCCCCGCCCGGCAGCGGTCCCACGTGGCACACTCGCACGCACAGAGAAAGTGGCGCGGCTCCCCTCGCTCCGCCGCAGCGATTTCCGTGAAACAAATCGCGTGCACGAGCCAGGTCACGGATGTCACCCAGCCAGCGAGTGGATTTTGCGCTCGAGCCATCGTAGCGTCACGGCTAACTTGACCGTCGCGGCTGCGGCAAGAAACGGACGACTCTTCTTTCCTCGTTCGCATTGCTTCTGCCTCGAAATAATTTCACTGCAGACAAGGCAACTGTACTTGCGCTCCACAGCCCCAATCCATTACAACAGCGCAGCGAACTGAGGCTCCCTTTGCGATGCGTCCGGATTTTATTTTAGTTTTCATTATTCTTAGAATGAAATCCCAATTTGCCGCGCGCTATGGGCGCCACGCTATGAGATGACCACGTGCACCAATTAGAACGCTCCCAGTTAGTGGTGGCATGGCCACAGAAGATGCCGTCACAGCACTATCTGCCGGGAGGCGGTGGTGCGGTGGTCAAGCGGTAGGGGGCATTCGCCACTCATTGCAGAGGTTCACGGTTCCAATCCATTTGACTGCCCTGAATAATACCGCAATTATAGCACACGTAGGCTTTCACGCGGCACTTTTGTCCGGAATGAAAAGCAAACTTCATGGGTTAGATCTCGTAAACATGAATGTGTCCTTGAAACCCCGCCACCATGTGTCCTTAAAACACGCAACATTTACAATTCGAGTACTGTGACGTTTTGCTGGTTATTAGAACCAGATGGTTGTAAAGCAGGTTCTGTTTACGTGACAAACCTTACTAATTGACCATGTCGGGTGGTAGCTGGTATAACGACAAATTTATATTTCCGCGAACTAACCCCCAATTTTTTTTTTATTACGTTGTAATTATAACAATACTGATTTTGATTAACAAAACATTCTGGATGCTACGCGCCATCTGCTTCACTCCCATTGGACGTCAAGCATCCCGTGACGTCATTTTGCAAGAGCAGGCCACTGTGCGTCGTTGATAGGGTCGAAATCTCCCAAGTTGCAAAATCGCATCGGACGTTACTCAGTTGGGATTACGCAGAGCAATTATCGCCCCCCCCCGACCCGACCCGCTACCTGCAGCAGACGTAACCTGCCACAGGTCAGTCTCGAAAACTAAACATAACATTGATCTCTTGAATTCTGGCCTGGCTTGATTAAAAGTAAACTTGACACTATTTTTAGTCACTTTGGTAGCCCCTCCTGTTGAATGCCGCTTGTCGGTAAAACCATAGGCAAGTTCGTAATGCAATGTTGGCGCTTTTTGTTGTATTATTTTATTTATTTTATCCCAAAAAATGTGCAGACGACTTTGCGTCAAATCAGACGATGATTTGCCCAAGACAACATTTGTATTCTCTACATCAGCACGTCACCCACTCCACCTCTGTTTATTTATCATCGCGTATTTTTTTGTTGCCTGTTTGTTTACGAATACTCTCGTTCCTTTATTATAATATACGCACCGCAACTTTCTGGTTGTTCTTTACATTGCCTGGAGACCCGCACACACATGAAGGTGTCTTTTTTGCATAACAAGCAGCATTGCTCTCCATATTCATATGCAAAATGATTATAATTACACATTCAGCCCATCTGTTCATTGGTACAAATGTGAATTGCGGGCCTGGGGGGGGGGGGGGGTAGAACGCGCGGCGGGCGAGAGTTTTGGAGTTCGTGAGACTTTGGCTGGCGCTGCTGTGCTCGCGACGTTTTCACACCCCGGGGGGACTGGCTCCACGCGATCCGTGGTGCCGCGGCCGGAGCACGTGACCCGCGATCGCAGGGTTGCGAGTTCGAATCCGGCCCTGGGGGGTGATCGCGAGTCATCGTGAATCGGTTCATCTGTCGTCATCATCGATCTATAATCATCAATCTGTCATCATCATCATCATGCCTGTCATCAATTTATCATCATAATGAATCTGTCATCAATATATCATCGATCTGTCATGATCAGTATGTCATCAATATATTACCATCATCAATCTGTCATAAATATGTCAACAATCTATCTTGATCAATCTATCTTGATCAATCTGTCATCATCAATCTGTCATCATCAATATATCACCATCAATCTATCATCTCTGTATCATTATATCATGATTGTCAAATTATCATGAATGAATTATCAACAAAGAATCCATCATCAATAAACCTTCAGTCGTCAATCAAATAACCCCGTCATCGCCATCATCAGCAACGCGGCGCTGATTATCGACATGAACGAATGGTTGAGGGGGGTCTCATAGTGGCCGTCGAGAGACGCTCAACTCCCCTGGGTTCACATCCACGTCCTGGTGCGATCCCCGACCCATGCGTCAGCGTCCCTCGGTGTGCTGCGCGGGGGGGGGGGGGGAGGGGGCGGCAGCCCGCAGAGCTCCGCTGAAATCCGTGGGCAGTCGCCAACAGAGACGCGACGATGTTTGTGACGTTGCGACGCCGCGCGGCAGTGGTTGTGACAGGGAGACACAGCTGCGGTCGGGGGGTTCCTCGAGAAGACCGCAAACGGTGGGAGGCTTTGCCGCCGGCAAGGCGTCGCCGTTCGCGTTTGCCAAGCGGGATGAGCCGATGGTCTCGGCCTGGTCACCAGCGACTGCGAACAAATAACGCGTCGTTTTTGAACCGGCTATATATAATCAAAAAGTTTTGCCCCCCCCCCCCCCTCCTCGCCCCTTAACGTGGCTGCCCTAACACGTCGAAAAACAAAAAGCGTTTTCTACACATGCCATCAGCCACGCGGCCTTCTGGGAGTGCATCACTTCAGCAGCATTGGTCTCCTTGCGGGCATTCGCACCCACTAAGGAGTCGTTGTCTTGTGGGCGGCCGCCGGCGGCGAGGTGGTGCACCGCCAGCTTGCGAGGGTTTCCCGACGGGAATTCCAGTTGCCTCGTTGCGACCCCCGATCGCGCGTTCACAATGTAATTATCGGCGCTCGCTCGACGCGTTCCGCCGGTAACACCGCCATCAAGGGACAGCGTAAACAGGCGACGTTTTGAGCAATGACCCTTGTTCAGCACACGTGCTGGGAAGAGCCGTCGCAGTGTCATCGACGAACGCGTTGAGTTTATTTTTTGTTTGCGGCTGCCCGCTGCACCCACTACCGTCAATGCAGTGTCACATTTAATGGGCAATATAATTGGTGATGTCTAAGAAATAAACTTTTCTTACATCAATATGGAGATCCTCCTCTCTTAGCTCATGACTCATGTAACGCATATTTAATGCAATCCATCACATTACAATTAAACTTTTATATCTTCTGTTTTTCAATGTTTTAGGGTCCAAGGGGCCCTGCCGGTACTCCAGGCATTAAGGTAATTGTATTTTTTGTCTTCACAAATTCTCTACATCTCATTAACGCTGCTGCTTCATTGAAATTATACGGCGAATAACAAGTCGACGAGAGGAATGCACACACACACACACATGCATAGACAAAGGTCCCCCTGCGTAGCCTTTCTCAGGCTGTTGGGGCAAGTGCCGTTTTCGAGCAGCTATGCAGGCCGGAACCGCGCACGAGTGGCTATTGTGTCGCGAGCACCACGAAGCTTGACTGCCTTTGTCTCCCCGGTACTAATGTTTACATGCCACGCACCAGGCGCTCATTTAAGCCTTGCAGGCTGGAGGAGGGCAGGTTACCTAAGCACGTACTGGGGCAGCGCGCAGATGTCGTCTGCCTACCAAGGGGACGACAACACCAGATGGTGGCGGTGGCGGGAGTGATGATGGGGAGCGGTGGCGCAGTAGTTAGCACGCTGCGCTACGAAACCGACGACCCGAGTTCGAATCCCGCCCACGGACGACTCCAGTGACGATTATCTGAACCGGTCCTGGGCAACCCCCTTGGCCGACTCAGCCTCAAATGGGTACCTGGTGTGGTTTTCGAAAATCGCCACTAGGAAGACAAAGGCGGCCGGGCATGGTGCTGGCCACCCACCCCCTCGTGTGCCGTGCTGGCCTTCATAGGTGCTCGCTAACAACACTTGCCCAAAAAGAATCTTGAGGCTATGCGGGACATCTTTGTCTTTGTCTGGTGATGATGGGACTGTCAGAGCAAACTTTGCAAGTCGAGTGCCGACTGTGCAACGATTGTGGATTCTGGCAGGAAGAAGGGAGCTTTGGCGAGTTCTGGTGGGATGAAAACATAATCAGCACATACTTGGTGCCATGAAGAAGGGCCGTTGCTTGACGCGTCACCCGTTGTGTTTATTAGTGTTATTCGTGAATGTGTGAGTTCATTTTTTACATGTATGCTGAACTTCTTTCAAACCACTTGTAGCGAACCGTGCGCTTCGGAGGTGCCTTTGCACCACTGCCAATGCAGCAGCACCACCACCAAATCGTTGTATGGGGGAATTGGCGTCGGAGTAAAATGTTAAGCCACGATCGTCAATATCTCTGAGATGGGACATGGCATTTCGAGGGAAAGATAGGGGCCGTAACAACCTCGTGATGTCGATGAAGCTATACATGACAAGCCACTTTGTTGAGCTCTCATTTGTGGCCAGGTCGCTTCTGAAAAAGAAGTTAATACCTCGGTGGCATTTACCTGGTAATGTAAACATAGTTTAGCTTAATAATTATATATTTTTAAGTGATGTATTTACCTTTCCTATACTTTGCGCTGAAATCGTGTTTTTGGTATCGTTTGTTGTTGTAACGTTCTGACCCAGCCCCTACTGGACATCTGTGAAAAAGAGCGTTGTTCCTCCTGCAGTATAAATAATCAGATTCTGCAATTCAGCTTCTTGAATTTGGAATAATCTGAGAGACGCATTGACTCAATGATCAACTCGCTGACTCACGCGTGCATATCATGGCACCGACGCCTCACTGCTCCTCTCTCTTAATGGTTGTAAAGAATAATTGCTGTGAATTATTATTTTACAGGGGGATTCCGGTTCACCAGGAAACCCTGGGCCTCAAGGGGACAGAGTAAGTGTTCTCAAATTGTCACTCAACTCGTGTCGAATCACAAGTAGCTTTCATTGATAATTGCACCGTGCTATCCCCGAACCTTAACCCTGGCTCTGTGAGTGCATCTGCTCAGACAAGTGGAAGGGGCAATACTTGTCTGTATGTATGCTGAACTTCTTTCACGCCATACGTAGCCAACCACAGTAATCGGAGGTGCTACAGAAGGACAACAAACTAAACACAAAAAGCAGTTCTAAAGAAATGAGTTTTCAATCCAGATTTAACAGTGCATAGCTCCAGTGACTTTCCAATTTCGGTAGGAGGAGCATTCCAGATGATCGCAGAAGCACATCTGGAAGCACATGATGCAGTGATCGTCTTTGTTCGATTTTACATGATTATAATAATTATTAAGTCGGCTATTGAAGCAATTGTAGATTATGCTCTTGTGGAGTAATGGTAACTAACACACTGGACTTGCAATCCAGAGGCCACAAGTTTGATCTCTTGGTGTGGCAGTTGAAACAGGGCAAGATGGTATCTCTCTTGCCTAAGATACAGGAGGTTGTGTGTTCGATCCCAACCGTGATGCCTATATATTTGGAGTGCATGTTATCCCCATGGTCACGTAGATTTCTCTCTGGGTCCTCCGGTTTTTCCCCCCACATTTAGAATCCACGTTAGTTTAAAGTATTTGGCTGTTATACATTTCCACGTGATAAGCCTCTTCATTGAGCTATCATTTGTGGCCAGGTCGCTTCTGATAAAGAGCTATATCGGTCAGTGGGCCTTACTTGGTAAGATAAAAATTGTTTAGTTTTAGTTGAACAATGGTGCAAGGTTTTTCAATCACCCCTCCACCGCCTCTGTCTACCCAGACGTATCAATGTATACAGCACAGTTCAGTTGATTGGCAGGTCTTGTGTGGTGGGGTTGAGTGTGGGTACAACAGCCCCACTTCTTCCAAGACCGAAAGACTCTTCGGAAAGAAAAGTCCAAAATTGCCTCTGTCGCGTTGCCTCAGGTGGAGGCCCTGCTGCTCGGAGTGATGTCATCAAGTAATTGCACGGCTGAACCTTTACAAACATTTTGATTTAAAGCTTTCGTGACTGCAGTGATTAATATTCTTGGTTCTTTCGGTAAAGTCACGTTGAAGGGAAACAATAAAATATATATAAAACAATAAAATTCTCCTCTTTTCCAAACATAGATGGACTCGTCCATCTACTAAACAAACTGTCAAATCGCTATCCGTGATGCTAACGTTTAGAAATAAATACATAAAAACCGCCACTTCTTTCAAATGTTCTTGCCGTTGGTTTTCACACCTGATGATGACTGCTTGTGTTGCAGTCGAAACGTCGTGAGAATTTTATTGTTTTTTTATATACTTTATTATTTTATTGTTTCCCTTCAACGTGACTTTACAAACATTGTTTTGTTTTTTACTCTTTCAGCGATCGTGGTTAATATTGCAACAGTTGTTGAAGGGAGCTCACGCAATTCCCCAGTTCTAATTGCATTGCAAATTGTGCAGAATAAACAAATGCGGAATTATAATTATAATGGCGAAAAGAGAGCAGTCGTAGGACTTGCATTGGCCTGAGAGGGACGGCATTGACCCCGTGACCTGGGCGAGATTTTAACTCCCTCGCCTGGTATGAAGGAGTGAGTGGGTTCGATCCCGACCCTGGTGCCTGCTGTATATTTGGAGTTTGCATGTCTCTCTCCCCGTGGTTGCATGGAGTTTTTCTGCGGGTCCTCCGGGTTTTTCTTTCTACATTTAGAATCAACGTGCATTTGGAGTTTTTGGCTGCCAAGCCACTTTGTTGAGCTATCACTTGTGGCCGGGGCACTTATTCAAAAAGAGACATATTGGCTCAGTGGGCCTTATATGGCCAAATAGAAATAGTACAAAATAAATAGTTTGTGACTGTGATTCCTGCGCTCTGTTCACAGCTCTGCCTCTCCAGCTTTAGCAATTACAACAATCGTCCATCATTTCGATTTAAAGCTTTCGTGACTGCAGAAATGTTTTGAAAAAAAAAATTCTTGCCGTGGTTTTCGCACCTGTTGCAATCGAAACGTCGTGATAATTTTTTTGTTTTATGTTTATTATTTTATTATTTCCCTTCTACGTGACTTTACTGAAAGAACCAAGAATAATCGTCCATCATTAAAGATACTCGTTTATATTATTAATGCTTCCCACACGCATAGGTGCTGCATATATGACGTGTCTCAAAGTTGCATTTCTTTCCATACATTTTAAAAACCTTAATTCTTCCACTCTCAAAGTGTCATTTTAAACTCTTAAGTTTCAGAATGCCTTCTTCGAAAAAGTGTTTTCTGTATTGGTTCCAACTGTTTCCCATTCCCCACGTTAATATCCTTGCGAGCCCAAGCGCGGGTTATTTTTATTCCAGCCTTTCAAAATCTCCACAAAAATCCATTTTCCTCTTTGCTCAAACGCATCGCTCATTATTATTTGCACGACGCCAAGCATGGGATTCACGACGGATTACCTGCTAGCAAGCTCTCTCCCCCCCCCCCCGCCACTCACCAGAGATAGCCTTCGCATCCCGTTCCTAACACCACAGACTCGGGTCAGTGGCAGCTTCGTGGTCGGGCGGAGACGGGACGAGGCGCATCGACGTCGAAGAGAGGGGTCCTGACAAACCCCGTGACGTCGATGCAGCCATTTAGATTGTTTCGCTGCTATACATTTCCACACGATAAGCCACTTTGCTGAGCTATCATTTGTGGCCAGGTCGCTCCTGCTTTTGGCAGCACAGGTGGTTATACAGAAGGTCGGGGATTCGATCCCCGACCCTCACGCCTGTATATTTGGAGGCTGCATGTTCTGCTCGTGGTCGTGAGGATTTTTTTTTCTCTCTCCAGGTCCTCCGTTTTTTTTTCCATCCACATTTTAGAAACGTGCATTTGTACAATTTCGATTGTTTTTACCGCGATACATTTTCGCACGATGAGCCACTTTGTTGGGCTGTCATTTGTGGCCAGGTCGCTTCTGAAAAAAATGAGTTAATACCTCAGTGGGCTGTACCTGGGCAATTGTTGGCTCCGGCTCATCGCGTTGGCTGCCTTCCCAGCCTGTCTGTTGTTCTTCCTTGCGCCTATGAATCATTTTCTCTCTCCGTGGGTGTTCTAACCAGAGCCTCCAATTCTCTCGTAGAAGCCACCAGCCACCAACAGAAACAAAAAAAGAGCAAGCTGGCAACACCAGTCTACAAAGCGAGCCTTCATTTTGTTTTCCAGTCCAGTCCGTGTACTCCAAAGTACTCAAAATCCCGTAAACAGACACTCCTCTCGGTACTCTTGGTTCTTTCGGTAAAGTCACGTAGGTAAAGAAAAGAAATAAATAAATAGAACTAAATAAATAAATCACGACGTCGTGGTTTAATTTATTTTTAATATTTTTATTTTCTTTACCTACATGACTTTACCGCAAGAACCAAGAGTATGGATCTTTGCAGTCACGAAAACTTCAAATCTAGAACTCCTCTCGGTATTTTTGGTATTGTTTTTTGGGCATTGTTTTTGGGTATTGTTTGTTGTTGTAACTTGCTCACCCGCCCCTATGCTGGGCATCTGTGAAAAAAAGAGATGTCATAGCTCATCGAGTTCCTCCAAGTCTTAAATAAATATTCTGATTAAATTATAAAATATAGATGTCAGAGTACTGAGCAAGAGCCACTTGATAGTCTCGGGTTGAATCCAAGCAGACGTCCTCAATTCAACTGGTTCCTCAAGTGCCGCGAATATCGGGCATCAGTCCGGTTTCTCACGAAGCCAGACAACAGCAAAACAACCATCGTGATATTAAAAATTGTTTTGCACGTACTTTGGCAAACGTTTTAGCGCTGAGGAGTCGTAATATCCTGTTTGTCATTCGACAAACAATCTGACAGCAGAGTTTATCAGATAAGTGCGACCTCTGCTTTGTCAACGATGAAGATCACTTGAAGGACGTTTTTTGGTTGAAGTCCCGCCGAGTAATAACCCTTTTCTAGCTCTTCTCTTACACACAGGGTGATGCACTGCTTTCTAAGTGACGAATGGACTCGTTTCAAAGGACGTGACACAGATAGCAAACAATTATAATGAACCGGTCGTAGTAAATAAAATAATTGTTACAAGAAAAGTCTAAAATATTTTTAAGGTTACTTAAAATGGAATGTGTCAAATATCGGCATTGGCTTAACACTGCATAAACTGCACGAGAGAAAGCATCCATTTGGCAGCAATGGCGTTCGAAACTTCCTCTGTGATTCCTTGTGGAGGTGATACAATTCATTAAGCGTGGGTGATTTGCGAGCAACTGACTGCGAAAACAACTGCATGGTTAAGCCCTCGAACATTTGAGAACGCGTGTGGTAAATAGGTCTGCCGCCAACTCAGTTGGCAAAGGATATAAAGAGATTTTTAAAAATGTATATATACAGTATAAAACAATGATATGAAATCTAAAACAAACGTTAGATCTTGTCACATCGCTCTTACGCAATGTCTCACACACCCCCCTCACCTCAGGGCAGACTTGACCTTGCCTCTGGTGTCTGTGCTGCTCCTGCTCATCATTGTCTGTGTGTTGAGCGCTCAGCCAGTGCCATGGGGAGCCTGGGTTCAAGCCCAGGTTCTTTGCGTGCAAGAGAATTTGACGTGTGTCATCATCGTCGTCGTCGGCCATCGTCTATCCGCTGCTGGATGAAGGCCTCCCCAAACTGCCGCGAATTACGATTTCTCAATTAGCGGCGCAGTGGTGATGCTTGTGCCTCACAGCAAGAAGGGCCTGGGTTTTACACCTTGACTTAAGGCTTGCGTGACTGCAGGAATTCATATTCTTTGGGTCTTTCGGTAAAGTCACGTAGATAGGTTCAAAGAAAATAACAAAAAGTAACTAAAAAGGACGAGGTTTCGATCGCAACGCAAGCGGTCGTCACCACGAAGATAAAAGAGTGGGTTTCATTCTCGACTCGGGTGCCTTTCTGTATTTTTTATTTTTTACACTCTCCCCTTGTTCTGCATTGGTTTTCTCAGGGATCACCAGTATCCTCTTAAAGTAAAAAAAACAGACACACACAAAGTAATGGGTGTTGTCCAAACATCCCAGACCCCAAAAATAATCGCTTGCAAATTACTCAGTTGGGATCGCACACGGGACAACATCGCCCTCTTCTGCCAAAACTTGGCTGGACCCTCGTAAGAATAGCCTTTGAGACTCGGTGAGGCTTTCCGGGTAAACAATTGCACACACGCAACAAATCCACCTTGCTCCACCACGTGAACTCATTTCATCTTTCCATCTCCCCTCGGTGGGCGTCATCGTGGACACGTTTCGTCCACTGGTTCGGCAGTCATCCCTCCGAGCAACGTTGTCCTGGACTGGCCCACTGCCCCGTAAATTATCATCATCTCCCTGCGCTCTCGAATCTGCGTGTTCCTCTCTCTGTCTCTCGGTGTTAATCCAAGAGTGTGTGTCTCTCTCCCTCCTCCTCTTTTTTTTTTTTGCACCTCGACACACGCAGCATGGTCAGAGGTGTGCACGTTCCAACAAAAATAATCCATCCCTGCAGATTGTCCTCAGATTGTAAATGTTGTGGCTTTGCTCAACAACACTGTGCTGTACCAGTAACGAATTGGCACGCTTTGTTTACGTGACAAACCTTGCTAATTGGCTGTGTCGGGTGGTGGCGGGTTTAACGATCTAACCGAAAAAAACCTGTATTATGTATAATCCATCACTTGTTGAATGGATATAAATGATGGATGATGATGGTGATGATGATGATGGGTCAAGTGCCGAATTGCTTAAGGTTATAGAAGTAACCCGAATGTAATCCTTCCCTTTATTATTGAAGAGAATTAGTTGGTGATTCTGCTTCTGCAGCATTGGCAGCAGTGCACAAGCACAATTTAAAACAACAACAACAACAAAATCTCAACAAATTCGTCAACAACACTGCCTTAAAAAGACAAAGTGCATAATTGGTTGACTTTTCGGCTCCTCCTTCAGAGTACACATTTTCAGAGACAATGGAGGGAGCAAGAGAGGTCACAATAAAGCCCCCTTCTCTACCTATTGGCGGTATTTCTTCACGTTTATGTAATCTGACTCGACGAACCTTGTGATTCAATATTCAAAGTTGAAGTGTCTCTGTGATTAAATGACCGCGGGCCACATTTGAGCTCTGTCGGTGGAAATTCCGCATTTCTATGGCAGTATTAGGGGCGCCATGGTGGAGGGATGTTAACTACCTCACTAGGTATACAGGAGATCATGGGTTCGATCTCGACCCTGACGCCTGTATATTTTGAGTTCGCGTGTTCTCCCCGTGGTCGCGTGGATTTTTTTCTCCGGGTCCTCCGGTTTTTCCCTCCACATTTAGAAACAATGCGAGTATTTGGCTGCTCTAAACTTCCACGTGATAAGCCACTTAGTTGAGATATCATTTGTGATAGCCAGGTCGCTTCTGAAAAATAGCTATATAGCTCAGTGGGGCCTTGTAAAATAAATACATAAATACAGAATGTATATTGACAACCACTTTGGGCTTCCCACAAAATGTTTGTAACTTGACCGACCCCGGTGCAATGACGGTGTCTTCGGGAATTGAACTCGTGACCTTTTGATTGTGACTGTTTCGTCATGGCAGGAGTGTACTTTATTTTTAGTTTGTTGTCCTTCCCCACCTCCTCCGATTAGCACGGTTGGCTACGTACGGTGCGAAAGAAAGTTCAACGTACATATGGGTCATATTTGCAAATGGCTCTATCCTGGTCTCACCTGGTTAAATACGTCAATAAGTAACTTGATACTTGAGCGCTCTGACCACAGTGCCACTGGGTCAGACAATGTGTGTGTGTGTCCTTGCGTAATGTTTTTCTTTGCCACTTTCTAGGGGGACAGAGGTCCGTCTGGTCCTCTCGGGCCAAAGGTAAAGAGTGAATATCAAACTGCACATCATTCTGATTCACATCGTCATCTGACCAAATCGCCCGGACATCTAATTTTCTCATCACATCTCCTTGCTCTCCTCTCCTTCAACAGCTTCACCGGCTTCATTTCAATCGCCGCTATCTCTTTAAATTACTCACCTTAGTTGTCAGAGCTTTGCATGGACTGCCCCCCAACCCTTACCTCTCTTCTCTCATTTCCTGATATGTCCCATCACGCCCGCTCCGATCACAAGCTGCCAATCTTCTTGCTGTGCCGCCTCCACCCTGCGACAAACCTCGCTTTCGCTCCTTCTCTCTGATTGCCCCCTTCCACCGGGAAAAAAAAAAAACTCCCCCTCCACATCCGAACCTCCCCCTCGCTTTCCCCTTTTCGCACTGCCCTAAGGTCTTGTGTTTGTTTCTCGACTGCCTCTCCTCTTCCACCACCCCTACCAGCACCACCGAAAGCCTCCACGTCGCTCCCTCCACCCTCGTCACAACCCCATCCCTTATTTTGCCATTTAGTACCGTAGTCGGTAAGCATTTGTCAAGCGCCTTGGTGAAAGACGCTTTATAAATCCGAAATAGAATAGAATGGTGGAAATTCCACATTCCCGTGTCAGGGACTATTCTATCCGCGAAACAACTGCTGTTCACTTACCGCTAAATGTTACTCATGGCGCGTGGCGAGTATCGGTAATTTACAATTTGTTAGCGTTATTTTATCTTTTTTTATTATTAGAATATTTGATTAGACTGGGGGAATCCAATGTGCTATGGAAATGTAGCAGTCACAGCTATACAAACGAGACATGAACCAGAAATAATGCCGTAGAGTTGGACAAAAATATATATTGATTCTTCATTTGATCTACGATTCTAGGTTTGTGACGATTTAATCAAATCAACCTGTTTTGTTAGACTTGAGTCACCCCCTCCGCCAGGAATTGACCTCGTGACTTTCCCGTTGCCAGCCGAGCGCTCCGCCCACCCAATCGCACCACAGCCATGGACAGACAAAAACAAAGCTAAGCAGCGTGATGAAGATTAGCCGCGATCTAATTAATCTTAATGTAAGTTCATTGAAATTAATTTCGGTGGCATCGGTTAAATATATGAGCGAGACCAAAGTGGTCACAGTGGGACTCGATTGCAAAGTGAGTTAATTAATTTGATTAAGCCAGATTGCTTGCAGGTGTGGGTGCTGCTGTCTGGGCCATGATCGTTTACCCATTGTCCCTTTTTCGTTTTTTTTCTTTCCAGGGAGAATCGGGGATTCCAGGACCTCAAGGACCCCAAGGACTTGCAGTGAGTGACATCATCATCATGATTATCAGCAAAATCATCATCGTCGTTACTTTTGTCAGTAACAGGATCATCATTATTGCTATCAACATTAATCATCAGTAGCAGCAGCATCATTGATATTGTCATGATTAGCAGCAGCATCATAATTATCATCATCATTATTTTCACTCACAGCATCATCATTATCATCAATCATCATTTTCACGAGCATTATTGATACGATAGGTATTATCATTGTCATCATCAATGTTATTATTAGGAGCTTAATTACTATGGTTTACATCATCAAAATTAACATTGGCATCATCATCATTACTATTATTTTCAACTACGGTGTCATCAGCACCATCAACAACATCATTGTTCATAATTAAATTAACATAATCATGCTTAACGTGCTTCATATGACCGCTATCTTCATCCATTGTCACCATCATTATAATCATAACAATAATCATCGTCAGCAGAATATTTCGAGACTGCTCCCACATAGGATCTAACGACTCTCAAAAGCCCAAGCAAATGGGGTGAGAAACCCATTTGCTTTACTGCAATCCGTCCACCACCGCCGCCACATTACCCAGCAAGTTAAGCGCCTCGCCTTACACAACAACGATCTCTACTTAATCTGTAAATCTAAAGCACCGCGCGACAGAAACTGTTACTTTGTCAAATTAGGTCATATAAACACGAAAGATGTGTTCTCCGAGTTAAAATGTTTCATGAGGTCTCTTTAATATCTGCTTGGCAATGTCACGTGATCTTCATAGGCACTTAGCAAGTTTCACTAGTTCCTGTCTTAATAATTTTTACTCTATTATTTAAATGCATGACACTCGGTTTTAACGTGACATTATTGCCTTTGCATTCCTATCACGCACATTATTGTAGTACAGCGTTAGACTGATGGCCTTAATTTTAGTTGTCCTGTGGTTGTTGTTGTTATTTTGACTTGCATCCCACTGGGATTTTTGCACACAGCGTCGGTGTACGGTGCTATTTCAGGAATATTTTGATGTTTTTTTCCAGGATTTTCTGTTTGCACAGTCACATAGTCACTTTAAGATGTTTTCTTGTTCATGTTTTTGTTTTATGTTTGTTGCTGTTGCACCCGATTCAAGAGCGAATGGCTCACAGGGCTATACCAAATAAATGGAACTATGAACTATAGAACTATGAGTGGTAAATATTGCCACCGCAAATATAAAACCTTGGATATCTTATGCTGCGGGGAGGAGTGATGGTACAAGAGTAAGCCCTATGAACTCGTCGACCTGAAGTTCACTTTCAGGCTCGCATCATTGGCGAGTGATATCTAAACCAGCCCTGGAATTACACTAACTAGACCTGACCTTCATTGAGTATCGAATGAGTTTTTGTGAACATCGCCCATTAATCATGCACGCATTGCAGCCGGTTAGTGATTCCAGGTCTAGATGTAACATACGTCGAGACTTTTAAAGTGTCTTTTTTTTCATTCATCTCTTTCTTCAGGGTCTGCCAGGCCCTGCTGGTCCTCGTGGTGAAAAAGTAAGTTGATGACAAGAACATGAATCACAAGCACAATTTTTGTCAATTCAGGAACTGAAGAATAACCCAGCATGTGACGCGAATCTTGCGGTTCGTTCAGTGTCCCGGAAGCATCTTCAGGAACGAAAAATTCAAAAGTGGAAATTGGGTTCTTGGAGATGCTTGGAAGAACGTGGGGCCGAAACGTCGGACATCGTGCCGAGCAGCGCGTGCGGTCTAACCCGAAAACACAGAAGAGAGCTCGACAGCTGTGAAACATTTACAAAGCCTTGACAACATTTTATGAATTCGTAATTTTCTCCTAACATGTATTGTGTTTGCTCCTGTTTTTGTTATTTAAAAAAGTACGTGTGTCGATTATTTAAATACAATCTAATTGAGGATCTCCATGCTCAAATGAGCGCAGGGAAGCACCCATCCTCAGTTGATCGTCTTCTTCCTTCATAGGGCAAGGTGACATTTTACAACGCTATTTGTACCCTATACATCGAGGCTATTAAGTAGCTCAGTCGCCTCCTTGGAGAGCTTGGTGGTGCAAGGGAGGCAATGTGGGATTGCGTGACACATGGTCTGTGAATCGGCGGTGAAGGGGGGGTACTTGTGCTGGAGCACGTGATCCACAGTCTGGCTCTGGTGACCACAGAAGTCGCATTGCAGAATGTGCTTAATGTTCCATTGATGGAGTAGGTGATTGCCTCTGCCATTACTCTGTTCCATTGGCTGACCCTGAGCCAGTGGTGGATATTCCGCATCGCCACGACCGGATGTGGATAACCAATAATGACCAATAATGGTCATCCAAAGGGTGAAAGGATTAGTAAAATAATCTGCTTATATATACGTATCATGTCACCCATAGGATGACAGCTGCCGACGTCTTCCTAAAGTGGTTCTCATTTTTAGCAACTCTGTTGGGATGATGAGCCGAAGTGAATCCTTATGCGGGATTCAAACTCTTGAGATTCCAAATCTGCCCTGAGTGCTCTAACCACAAACAACTCCACCTGGCCCAATGCAATTATCTTAAAATATTAATCATTTAACAGCACCCCCCCCCCACCGCCCCAACCCCATTTGCCAGACTGTGCGACAAATTGAAATATACTTTTTTTTAAATGTAACGAAAATTTCATTTCCGAAATTAGCATTGTCATACAAAAATAATCGTACTGTTCTAGAAATTCATTTCGCAGTTGCACATTTCTGTGACCCGTATTAAACAAAAAAATTCCATTGTGAATGACAAATTGTGTTTGTATATTTTCAGGGATCGTTGGGCTTCCCTGGAGAACCTGGCCCAACGGTAATCTTGCACCGTACAACACAAATATTCTTGCTGCAATAACATTCCACTCGTCACTTCCGAGATGTTAACTACCTCGCTTGGTATACAGGAGGTAGTGAGTTTGATCCGACCCTGACGCCTGTATATTTTGAGTTTGCATGTTCTCCCCGTTATTGCATGGATTTTTCTCCGGGTCCTCCAGTTTTTCCCTCCACATTTAGAATCAACATGCATTTTAGATAAATCTGACTGCTATGCATTTCCACGTCAGCCACTTCGTTGAGCTATCAATTGTGGCCAGGATGCTTCTGAAAAATGACCATATAGCTCAGTGGGCCTTACCTGATTAAAATAAAATATGGTTGAGGTCATTGTTTAGTTTCAATCTTGCACAGATTTCAAGGCATTGAAACCAACTGACCTCAAATACTGGATATTTTATAAGTCCACAAACCAAAACCATTTCACAAACAAGCAAGCATGGAGCTGTGTTCACCTCCCTATTTACAGGCCCAAGCCAGTGGTGGAAATTCCACATTACTATGACAGGGAACAAATCCAGCCACATTTTAAAATAGCAATTTACCTCCACGTGCAGTGTGGTGAAAAATGTGCGTGCCTGTGGAGGGGGGACCCGAGTTCGATTCCTGCTCAACAACCAGTAACAGTGTCGGCGAATATTTGGACGTGTCCTGGGCCTGCCTTAGGTCAACTCAGCGTTAAATCTTTACCGAGCGCTGCGTGTAAAAAAAACTATAACATGGGGAAGACAAAGGTGTGGCGTTGGCCACCCCAACAGTCTGTTGTTGAGGCTATACGGGATGAATATTTGTCTTTGGTTGTCTCTGCAGTGATGCATGTGGTGTCGCGCTCATTATGGTTTGTGTTTATTTGCTGCAGATAGCTGGGCTACCCGGTGCCAGAGGGGAGAAGGTGAGAGACGCTCCGGGTTCTGTTGTGCCAACTCTATTACGGCGTGGGTGTAGGCGCGCACTCGCTGGTGCGCATTGTGTACGCGCGTGTGTGCGCGTGTGCGCGTGTGCGTGGACGTTGTGGCACACAGGCACCATGAACCTGGCGACCCCGGTTGGATTACAGCTCTCGCGCTGCCAATATCGGTGCCGAATGTCTGAACGGGGTTCCGGGTCTCCCCCTAGATCAACTCGGCCTTGAATTTAAAAAGAGCTTCGAGGCTCGATGGGGCCCTTACCCAAAATAATTTTAACCCAATTGAGTGCCTTTGTGTGGCGTGTGCTTAGTACACATCAGCACTGGGGAGACAAAGGCGGCGGGGGCGTGGTTGCTGTCCATACCACCCCCTCGCGTGCTGTGCCTGCTTTCGTAGGTGCTCGCTTAACAGCGTTGACCCCCCCTAACGTTCTTTACGGCTATGAGAGGGGCGGGCGGGGGTGGTGCGCATGCACACGTCATGTCAGTCAATTTACGTGTGACACCTGTGGCCGGTACGTTTTGTTCACGAGGCCACAAAAGTCCGCACGCGTCTAGCCCGGCTCAAGTGCCGTGGCGACGTTACCGGCGCTCGGTGGCGAACGGCGTTTTGGTTGCCACCGTGGCCGTTGTTGTTGTTGTTGTGTGCATGCGTTAATGCGCGCGTGTGCGTGTGTGTGTGTGTGCGTGCCATCGTGCGTGCGTGAAGGGTGACATTGGTTTTCCCGGACCCCTGGGTCCCAAAGGGGAGAAAGGTGAAGCGGGAGAGAGGGGAGAAAAGGTGACACTCTTTTGATTTAAACTTCTGCATCCGAAGCTCAGACACGAGACTCACTTGCGCTCCCAGCGTATTACATTTAATAATTATTAATTGCGTCTACAAAATGTGGTTTATGTTGCACCATCAACAAGCCCACGCGCAAATGCAAGCAAAACACACAAACATAGCCACATTCACACGTAAAAAGATAAAGGCAAAGATCCTCTGCAAAGCCTTTAACAGGCTATCGGGGCAAGTGCTGTTCGCGAGCACCTACGAAGGCCAGCACGGCATACGAATGGGGTGGGTGGCCAGCATCACGCCCGGCCGTCTCGTCTCCCTATGGGCGATGTTCACACACCGCACCAAGTACTCGTTTGAGGCTGAGTCGACCTAGGGGAGGAGGCCCAGGACCGGTTCAGATAATCGGCACTAGTGTCGGGCCACGAGCGGGAATCTGGTTCGTAGCACAGCACACTTACCGCTACACTAACCGCAGGCGCACACGCACACACACGTACACGTGTGTACGTTTATGTACGTACACATGAAGACGCATCTCTTGCAATAAACTCTGATTTGAAAAGAGATGTTTGAAAGAGCGGCATTTTCAGTTTCAGCTAGTTTTTGCACAATTCCTACCTATTTGCAACACACGTGTGATGTCCGTGCGTGCTTCCTAACGTAATTGTGTCTGTTGACTCGAATGTACGCTGCTCTTTTAAAACAGGTAATTTCGTTGGAACACCTTAATGTGTTATTCTATATGTCATTACAATTGGATTACACTTTAATTAAGAGATCTCTTCTCTATCTGTCTGCTTTGCAAGGCTATCGTCTTGAAGCCTTGCTGGAGTTGTCAAAGTAAAGTCTCTCTATCTATTTGTTTATTGTCTACGTTTTGTGTCGATTGCACATACATCACTAACACCCTTGTATAGCTTTTTTACAGGCCTCTGTGTATATATTTTTTGTAGACGATGAAGCTAATGAAAAATGTGGTCATGTTGGTAATTATGGTGTTTGCTGTTGGTGGTGGTGGTGACGATTCCCACCCATGGCCACCAACACCGGTGACGATTATCTGAACCGGTCCTGGGCCTCCCCGAGATCGACTCGGCCTCAAATGAGTACCTGGAACGGTGTGTAAACATCGCCATGGGTAGACAAAGACGGCATGGGCGTAGTGCTGGCCAGCCACCCTACGTGTGCTGTGCCGGCCTTCATAGGTGCTCGCGAACAGCACTTGCCCCAACAGGTTATATGGGGGATATTTGTCTTTGGTGATTATGGTGATGATAATTTTGATATTGCCACTGCTGCTGATCCTGCTGTAATTATAACGATCATGCTTCTAGTGGTTATGATGATACTATATCAAATATTCCATAAACTCTTCATTGGTCACATTGTAACTCACCTGCGATGATGACAGAGAGAGGAATGATGGCACTAATTATGTTGTTGTTTCACTGCAGAATTTGAATATCCCATGATTTAGAACCGCTTCTTGTGTTTAGATTTGTTGCCCCCCGCCGCACCTCCGATGAGCATGGTTGGCTACGTACGGTGTGAAAGAAGTTCAACATACATGAATACATTTAAAACATGTACTTGAGTAAATAGTTTGGTGTTGCTGCTGCTGCTGCTGCATTGGCAGTGGTGAACAATCAACTCAACACGCTCCTCAACAATAACGCCGTGTGTGGCCATGAAAGGAAACATTATATTAGCTGCCGACGTTTCGGGTCATGGTCCTTCTTATTAGCAAATAAAACAAGAACAATTGCGAATAAGAGGGCCCATTGCCTGAAACGTCACCTGTTATATATGTATTCATATTTTTCAGGCCACAGTATTATTGACACGTGTTGAGTTTTATTTTTTAACTATGCCCAATATCCAATATTGAGGTTTACTTAAATAAACAATCATCACAAAATGTGATGGCTTGATATTTTATCTAAATATATACATAATTGAGGATATAATGTTAAATTATGATGATGATGATGATACGACTGAGTCGATGCAAAGAATGGCGCTGCATTTATAATGATGAAGATTCCGGCAGCAGGGGCCAAACATTTCGATATGCATTGAAATGTAAAATCCATTTTTAACAGGCGGGCTTAAGAGCCATCGCCTCTCCTGGGAAGCCAATGATTATGAATGAAGGCAATCATCCCTCCACCCACTCACGCCGATGCTCTATTTATTTCCAGGGCGTAACGGGGTTTGGTGTCCCTGGTCAGCCTGGGTCAAAGGGAGAGAACGGAGAGAGGGTGAGAATGGTTCCTTAACTTCTTGTTTATTTCACTATGCATAATGCACGCCGCACGGGAGTGGCGGTGTGGCGGTGAGCACGCCGCACTATAAACCCAGCAACCTCGGTTAGATTCCCCACTAAGTTTCGTTGCTAGGCGATGTCTGAACTGCCCGTCTGCTCCCTCATCTTCATCAAACTGCGCTCACCAGCGTGGTGAAGTATGGCCAAAAACCACCACCACTATTGTGTGTGCAGCCCTTCATCCCGCTAGTGGATTGACACACACCTGTAAGTAAATGATTGTTCATTGCAACATAACGTCGGCGTATACCAATGCATTCAAACTCATGATTACAACTCGCAATACATGCTTGGAATCATGCTTTACAAGAATCAATCATTTGCGATGTATGCAGTGCCGGATTATCCCAGTAGCAAAAGAAGCTACATATGCTACGGGCCCTGCACTTTAAAGGTCCCAGTGATTCTGCACTTGCTCTATTACTATAGTACTATACCGCCTTCAACTTTTATGAACGACTGGGTGCTTAAGGTTAGCAATTTGTCGTCTTATCTGGCTGTATAGTAAATAAAGCATGCATTTACTTGACTATGCAAGTAAAACATTTGTGTTTTAATATTTATGTGTTTTTTATTTAGGGTCCCTTTATAACATATGCTACAGGCCCGGCACTAGCTTAATCCGGCACTAGATGTATGTTTTTATTTACGTTGAAACTTCTTTCGCACCGTTTTGTAGCCAGCCATGTCAAACGGGAGGTGTAAAATGTATGAAGGTTATATCTATATTTTTACTGGGAATAATGTAAGGTGATTGAGATTTCGAGTCTCACGCATTCACATGGGTCCTGTTATGCTGTTGTTATTAGCTAAAGAGTTTTGTTTAATTGCAGGGTAACGTTGGACTGTCTGGCAGGCCAGGTGACAAGGTAAGTGACATTTAAACAATGCACTCGCCAGACTCACGGTGAGTTTGAACAAACATCAAAGTCGGGCAGTTATGTGCCGATGGTAAATGTATTATTCCTATTATGGCCAAGGTTCAGACACCAATTTGCCACCAGGTGCTGGAGTTGAATCCAGGTCTCTTGGATTATGAACTCTGTGACACACATTTACAGGCCACATACGGTGAACTGACAACTACACTGCCGCTCCCCACAATTTGCACGGAGGCAAAGATACCCCCCGTATATCCTTGCCAGACTGTTCGCGAGCAGCACCTATAGTATCATAGTTTCATTTATTTGGTATAGCCCTGTGAGCCATTCGGCTCTTGAATTGGGTGCAACCGCAACAAACAAAAAACATGAACAAGAAAACATCTTAAAGTGACTATGTGACTGTTCAAACAGAAAATCCAGGAAAAAAAACATCAAAATACTCCTGAAATAGCACCGTACACCAAGGCTGTGTGCAAAAATCCCAGTGGGATGCAAGTCGAACAACAACAAGAAAACTTAGATTAAGGCCATCAGTCTAACTCTGTACTACAATAAACAAAAAACATGGCCAAACCAAAAAACGTTTTCAAAATCACCAAAATAAAGCCATAAATGCAATGTAACAGTGATCATAGGAACTGTGACCGAATTTTTTACAATAAACTACATAAATAACGTGAAGGCTGGCACAGTGCACGAGGGGGTGGGTGGCCAACACCAAGCCCGGCCACATTTGTCTCCCCAGTACTGATTGTACACTGCACCAAGTACTCATTTAAGGCTGAGTCAACCTAGGGGAGGCCCAGGACTGGCTCAGACAATTGCCACCGGTGTTGACCATGAGCGGGAATCGAACTCGGCTCGCTGAGTTCGTAGCGCAGCGTGCTAACCGCTACACTACCGCTCCCCACACATGATACACACATGTGTAATGGGTTCTGGAGACACTTTGTATAGGCAACTTCTTTATTACAACACAGCACTCCAACAGTCCTCCTGATACACTGCTACAGCCTAGGGACACAGCCTACTCCTAGCGTGCCGTGACACTGCCTGCGCTCTCGGGTCCTCCGCTATAATAACCTAGGGGAGGCTACCCTGACCCCACCCAGCCAAAATGTGGGTCTAGACTCTGGCTTCCTCGGACCTCGCCCTGACAAGGGCGTGGGGCCGGGAGTCCCAGAGTCCCACCACTGGCCCAGAGTCCCACCACTGGCCCAGAGTCCCACCACCAGCCCAGAGTCCCACCACCGGCCCAGAGTCCCACCACTGGCCCAGAGTCCCACCACTGGCCCAGAGTCCCACCACTGGCCCAGAGTCCCACCACTGACCCAGAGTCCCACCACCGGCCCAGAGTCCCACCACTGGCCCAGAGTCCCATCACTGGCCCAGAGTCCCACCACCGGCCCAGAGTCCCACCACCGGCCCAGAGTCCCACCACCGGCCCAGAGTCCCACCACTGGCCCAGAGTCCCATCACTGGCCCAGAGTCCCACCACCGGCCCAGAGTCCCACCACCAGCCCAGAGTCCCACCACTGGCCCAGAGTCCCACCACCGGCCCAGAGTCCCACCACTGGCCCAGAGTCCCACCACCGGCCCAGAGTCCCACCACCGGCCCAGAGTCCCACCACTGGCCCAGAGTCCCACCACTGGCCCAGAGTCCCACCACTGGCCCAGAGTCCCACCACTGGCCCAGAGTCCCACCACCGGCCCAGAGTCCCACCACCGGCCCAGAGTCCCACCACTGGCCCAGAGTCCCACCACTGGCCCAGAGTCCCACCACCGGCCCAGAGTCCCACCACCGGCCCAGAGTCCCACCACTGGCCCAGAGTCCCACCACTGGCCCAGAGTCCCACCACTGGCCCAGAGTCCCACCACCGGCCCGCACAGCGTCCCGGGCCTTACAAGGACAGCGGGGCGAGGGGGTCCAGGGTCCGATCTAGCTGCTGCTGGTCTTCCTTCTACGGCTGCGACTGGTCCCGGATCGGCTCGGGAGGTCCCCTTTTATGCCCCTTGCCCATTGAGGGGTGGGGCTGCGAGGGGTCCTAGAACCCTCGCAGCCCCCCCCCCCCCCCCCGTTGGGGGCGCCAAGGGGCTTAGCTGTCTGGGGATCCTGAGCCCCCAGCAGCCCCTCCCCTCTTGGGCTGGCACTGCAGCCCCTCCCCTGACGGTACGAGGTTCCGTTCCATCTATGGCGCTACACATGCATACATAGACACACAGACGCATACACCCTTATCTGAATAAGCCTTCTAGACTGTAAAGGCAAATGCAATCAGAGAGCACCTGTTAATTCAGACCTTCACGACATGACGATTGACAATGCATGCATACACACACACCTGCGTGTACACACGTGCACACATTCGCACGCTCCAGCTTACACAGAGGTAAACACGCATGCATGTGCACACACACTACTGTCAGTGTCTTAACCGGAGGGAGCAATGATGGATCGTTTTGTTTAAAAATTTGCAGAACGATTGTAATTAAATGTTGCCTGGGCCAGGATGTAAGTCAGGAGCAGAATAATTCTTGAAACAGGGTAATACCCCAAGGGGAAACGACTGTGAATCTCACAGTTGGATGTGTGAGTGTGTGCACACGATATGCATAGTACACACTAGGTCGACTCAGCCCCAAATGAGCACCCGGTGCGGTGTGCCAACATCGCCACTGGGGAGACAAAGGCGGCCCGGCATGGTGCAGGCCACACGCCCCCTCGTTTGCCGTGCCGGCCTTCATAGTTGCTCGCTAACAGAGCTTGCCCCGACAGATTGTTAAGGCTATATGGGGGATCTTTGTCCGTGTAGTTGCTAACAGCATCTGCCCAAACAGTCGTAGGCTGTATGGGAGATATGTGTCCTTGTTTTGTCTTTGTGTGTGTGTGTGTGGGTGTCTCCATGTCTACATATGTGTCCCTATTTGCCAGTGTATTTTGCCAGTGTCTAGTGTATATGTCATTATTTCTGCGTTCTTCTGTCCAAAATATAATTACTCCAATTTATTTATGTCTGCCACTGTCTCTTCATATCACCCATCTTTTCTACGTTTGTCCAACTGTGTCTCTCGACATGCCTCTATCACTGCACCCATCTGTCTCTGTGTGTTGGCATCCATCAATACCGCTACACATTTTCACATCAGTCTGTTGGTGTCAGTCTATGCCTCTTCGCATCTGCCCCACCTTCAGCTGAGCTAAGCCTGTCCGCCAGAATCTGTCTTTGTCGCAACAAGTATCTGTGTACGGTCTCTCTATATCACGATGACATCTCAGTCTGTGTGTCCGTGGTCGTGTATAATGCTGCATCTTGCCTACCCACCCCTACTGGAGATCTGTGAAAAAGATACTTCATACGTAGCTCATCGGATTCCTCCTGGCTCACTACAAATTCTGAATAAATACAGATTTTGAATACTACACCCATCTCTCTGTGGCTTTCGGTCTGTATCTGTTTGTGTCTATATATATGTACGTGTATATGTTGAACTTCTTTCGCACCATACGTAGCCAACCGTGCTAATTGCTGATTAAAACAAGTTTACTGCCGGGTATGACTTTATGGAACATAAATCATGGACATTGACATAGGAATATTCTATGGGTCTTTTGGTAAAGTCACGTAGATAGGTTCAAAGAAAATACCAAAATAACTACGAGGTTTCAATCGCAACACAAGTGGTCGTCATCAGGAAAAGGGGGTTAACTTCTAAAAGTAAACTGTTTGTAAAGGTTTGAAATGGGCGTAGCCCAAATGTCAGCAGCCAATGGCAATGCGAGTGGTGGGCAGCGACCGCGACGGTGGTGGGTTTTCCACCAATCAAAAGGCTGCCAGGTAAAAATTAGCATGTCATTGTAACATCGTTGAGCGGCCTCCACGGCGAGCGAGCTGAGGTGGCTCTGTTAATGTGAGAGATTAGAATGTTAATGTGAAGATTAGCATGTTAATGTGAGATATTAGCATGTTAATGTGATAGATTAGCGTGTTAATGTGAGAGATCAGCATGTTAATGTGAGAGATTAGCGTGTTAATATGAGAGATTAGCATGTTAATGTGAGATATTACCATGTTAATGTGAGAGATTAGCATGTTAATGTGAGATATAAGCATGTTAATGTGAGAGATTAGCATGTTAATGTGAGAGATTAGAATGTTAATGTGAGATATTAGCGTGTTAATGTGAGAGATTAGCATGTTAATGGAAGATCGAAGAGCAGCAACCTCGAGTTTGGCGCGTGAGGTGGCTGTGTTAGTGTGAGAAATTTAACCTGTTGATATAACATCACAACCAGTTATGACTTAAACTGGTTAATAACGTCCTTCCAATGCTTGCTCAGTTTGTACCCATTTTCTCGGTGGAAATTGTGTCTGTGTCTGTATATATGGATGGCTTCATGAACGAATCTTTGTTGATAGCCAGTGGGTTTGCCAAGTACCTTCATCTAAGCGAAATCAATTTCGTGTGAGCCCACCACATTAAAATAATGATCAGCCATGGCTGAGGTATTGGTCCTACCGTGTTTCAGATCTCCCTTATGTTCACGAGGGACGGTCTGAGACATGTCGCTTAGTTTCCCCAATGTAACTACTGCTGCAGACACAGCTTAGTTTGTAAACACTTGGGTATTACATGTCAGGGATCAGATCACGAATATTATCTACTATGTTAAATAGAACCTGGATTTTGTGTTTGCTCATGATTTTGGAAATCTTTTTGGTGACCCCTGCTATGTATGGCAAAGTGATGATTTTGATTGGGTTCTCAAATGGTTCTTTCCCAGTGGTTGGGGTGATAGCTTCACGGATTGTGTAGTCTGAATATCCATTCATCTTAAGAGCTTGGTGTACGTGTTCCAGTTCACTGGCTTGGTGATGATGGTCGGAAAAACATCGAGCTCTATGGTGTAGAGTTTTGATGAGGGAATTCTTCTGGGATGGATGGTGGTGGGAGTCAGGTTTTAGGTATGCATCCGTATGGATGGCTTTCCTGTGGACAGAGTGTCCCATTGAGCCATATGGTCTCCTTTCGATTAAAACATCCAAGAATGGTAGCTTACAATCCTTTTCCACCTCTATGGTGAATTTGATGGCTGGGTGTATGGAATTGATGTGGTTGAGGAATTGGTTCAGAGCTGGTCGGCCATGTGGCCAGATGACGAACGTGTCATCTACGTACCTCTTCCACAAGGACGGACGTGAAGTGGATGCCTGGATGGCATCTGTCTCAATTTTTTCCATAAAAACATTGGCTACAACCGGAGATAAGGGAGAACCCATTGGGGTACCTTCAACTTGTTTGTAGAATGTTCCATTCCAGGTGAAGTGTTGGTGAGGCAGTGTCTAACCAGGGCCGGTACATCAGCATTCAGTCCTTGTTGGACCAAATCTTCAATGATTGCAATGGTGTCAGGCACAGGAACTTTGGCAAACAAAGAGACTACATCGAAACTAACGTGCAAATCACCTGGAGAGAGTGAGATGTCCTTAATTAACGATACCAAGTGAGCTGAGTTAAGTACAGCTGAGGTGGTCTTACCAGTGAATGGTTGTAAGGTCTCGGACAGAAATCGGGCCAGTTTGTAGGTGGGTGAGTCAATGGTGGATACGATAGGACAAAAGGGTGTAACTTCTTCATGGATTTTTGGCAAGCCATACAATTTGGGTAGTCTAGCAGCAGAGCATTTTAATGAAAACCGCTTGAATTTTGTTATTGCATGTGGTTTTGTCCTTGATGACTGTGGCATTGCCTTTGTCGGCTGAAAAGCTGATGCCATTTCTCTTTTTTAATTGAGAAAGCTCAAAGGGCTCATCCTTACTGATGTTGCTAACAGGTGTCTTAGCGTTTTTGAGGATTGCTGCGATTTCCAATCTTGCCACATCTGCAGTAATGTGTCCCAAACCCTTAAAGGCTACCTCAACCTGGGCAATTATATCATCAACTGAGATGTGTTTCGGGGTGACTGCGAAATCCAACCCTTTAGCTAGCTAACGGGTTGGATTCGCCCATTTCCGAAATGGGGGAAAGACAGTCCGACAAGCGTACGTGCTGCCACATGCTTGGGAATGACGCCGAGAGGGACAGAGAGAGGCACGTGGGGGATTGGAGAACATCAACAAAGTCGGAGACACCACGGGAGGAGGCCGCTGGAAGGGGATGATGGCTGACGGTTTTGAGATTCGGCGTGGAGTGGCACAACCAAAGGAGGCATTTCACTCTGCTGGAGGATGTGCCCAGGCGGGACAGAGCGATGACGATGAGCGATGGCGACGGTGGCGATGTGTTGACTACCTCGCCTGGTATACAGGAGGTCGTGGGTTCCATCCCGACTCTGATGCCTGTATAATTGGAGTTTTTGTGTCCTCCCTCCCCGTGGTCGTGTGGATTTCTCTCTGAGTCCTCCGGTTTTTCCCTCCACGTTTAGAATCGTGCGTTTAGGGTATTTGGCTGCTGCTCTACATTTCCACGTGATGATGATGAGCCACTTTGTTGAGCTATCATCTGTGGCCAGGTCGCTTCTGAAAAAGAGCTCCATATCTCAGTGGGCCTTACCTGATAAAATAACAAAAGTTTTATATTTTAGTAGATGGCAACGTCTGTGAGGGAAGCCTTCATCCAGCAGTGGATTGATCATGGCTGAAGATTATGATCATTCTAAATCGTATTCTTGGTTCTTTTGGTAGGTAAAGTCACGTAGAAGGGAAACAATAAAATAATAAAAACATAAAACAATAAAATTCTCACGACGTTTTGACTGCAACACAAGCAATCATCATCAGTTGTGAAAACCACACCTGTGATGATGCTTGTGTTGCAGTCGAAACGTCCTGATGATGATTGCTTGTGTTGCAGTCGAAACATCGTGAGAATTGTATTGTTTTATATTTTTTGTTATTTTATTGTTTCCCTTCTCCGTGACTTTACCGAAAGAGCCAAGAATATGAATCCCTGCAGTCACGAAAGCTTTAAATCAAAATTTCATTCTAAATCGATTCGCCGCATATGTCTCTTGTTTATTCGTAACTGCGCACTTCTCTGTCTGCCTTGTTTCATCCACGTATGCGTTCCCCGCCTACGTCTGCCGACATCGCAATCCAGTGATCTTGTCTGTCGAGCAGCGTGACAGTGCCTCCGCGCAGCTTCCTTTGACTCTGAACATCGAATGCGCCCGCCCTCCGTCTCTGCTCCCCCTGCCGCCCGTCCCCCCCCCCCCCACCCAGGGAGATCCTGGCGCGAAGGGAGACAAAGGCGAGACCGGGCGACTGGGAAATCCGGGGCAGATTGGCATGCGGGGAAAAGAGGTAAGAAACCGCATCCGAGCCCTTGTCCATAACCCTGAACCCAGCGAAGAAAGACCACGGTCACCGCAACACTCTGGCGCCTCCATTAGCAGCCATTCTCATCGTGGGTCAAAGGTCATTCAAGCAAAAACTCAACTCTGTGCCTCCGTACGTGAATCACGTTTCTTTTTTTAGTCCGTCAGCCTAGTGGCTTTTCCAGGCCAGTGTTATCAAACAGCATTTGTGTTAGCAAGGCTAGCTTGGACCGATTTCGACAAATGGTGCCGTTTTTAACAGACGTCATTGGCAAGACGACTCTTCCTCTTTGGTTCTATTCGGTAAAGTCGCTTAAAAAACAACAAAAAATAAACAAAAATTCACGACGTTTCGGCCACAACACAAGTGGCCTTCATCAGGTGAAGGGAGCGGACTGTCTAGAGGACAGCGCTGGAGTGAACACAGCCAAGCTAGAAGACGACTCTTCACTTGTCGTGGCTTATACCCACCGCAGAGCGCTGTTGACCATGCGGCGATTTGGTTGCGAAGAGGTTATCGTGCTGGGCTGCGATGGCTTAGAAATACTGGGCTGCGTAGCAGTCCGGCAAGCAGGATGGCGGTGTGTCCGGAAACGTACTTAAACAAAACAAAAATCTATGGTCCTTTGTTGCTCAATTTATTCTGTTTGTGCTATTGGCATTATGTCTGAAGGCAAAGAATCCAAGGCAGCGCGATCTGCCCTGTCATATAATAGATGCGCGATAGATTTTCCACGTGGCTTAAAAAAAAATCTTCACGTGGCCTGCCTCTAAATATTGATCGTTATCCCATCGTATATGTGTTCGAGAGTTCCTGGCACATGAAGTTTCCATTTATCCAAACATCAATTAAATAATATAACATTTTAGTTAGTTTAACATGTAGGCTTTCGTGACCAATATCATCCATAATCTAGGGGTTTTTTATACATATTAACCCCAAAAAACCTATATTATGAACATTATAGTTGTTTGTACAGGACAGGCCTCCTCTACAATACGTGGCTGGCACCAATGACATGGTTTAAGTTACAGGAGAAAGTAGAGAACATACGAACCTCAAACAGAAAGACGCCCGAGTCAGGAATCAAACCCAGACGCTTCTTGCTGTGAGGCGCAGGTTGTTACCACTACGCACGTCTCCTCAAAAGTAGCCTTGGTACACTGAGGCTCTTTTTTATATAAATATATAAATATAAATACATGTGAAAGGACTAAACATGTAAGCTCTGGTGCTATTTGACAAACACCATTTACAGGGCATGCAATATTAGCGTGCACCACCGGGTTGTGGACAAGAGGCCCATTGAATTGACACGGGTTAGCGGCACTGCTGTTGGCAGCAGTTTCCAATACAAGTTTATTTATCTTATAAATTCACGAGCTTGTTTGCTCGTCCAAGGACGGAAGCTGTAATATTTACGAAAAAATTGAGCAGAGTGTAATTGTATCTTGTGTAAATTTAACGGCAGTGAATCTTGCACAAAACTACGTCATAAAAACCTTACTTCATGTCACTGTTACACTGTATGTAACTGACCTTCAATTTAAATTTTGATTTAAAGCTTTCGTGACTGCAGTAATTCATATTGTTAGTTTTTTTCGGTAAAGTCACGTTGAAGAGAAACAACAAAATAATAAAATATATATATAAAACAAAAAAATTCTCACGACGTTTCGACCATAACTCAAACGGTCATCTTCAGGTCAATGATGACCGTTTGAGTTATGGTCGAAACGTCGTGAGAATTTTTTTATTGTTTTATATATATTTTATTATTTTGTTGTTTCTCTTCAACGTGACTTTACCGAAAAAACTAAGAATATGACCTTCAATTTGTTCAAATTCACTGCTCTGATACTTTATTCTCTTCTGCTTTCGATCGCTGGGGTTGAAATAAATTGGTAATCGATACAATATCTGTAAAATCACCGAGAAATGTCTATTTTACCATAATGTAGAAGTCTCCTTTTGTCTCAAGTGCTGAAGAAATAAATAAAGACACCAAATCCATACTCTTTGGTTCACGACGTTTCGCTTGTGTTGCCTCCGAATTTAATGAACTTTCTTTTTATTTTTACCTACGTGACTTTACTGAAAGAACCAAAGAGTATGGACCATTGCAGTAACGAAAACTTCAAATCTAGAATTACACCAAATCCACTTTGTTGCTGCGGATAATTATTTTTCAGATTTCCTTTTAAATAAAGAAACGGCTCATTATAAATGCATGCCTATTGCACAATAGGAATTCAATGTTCCCTTTAAAAGAAAAAAAGATTAAATATAAAAGTAATAATAATAACAATTAGGAATTCCTAGACATTCTCAATCCACCAGTGAATGAAGGTATCACCCACGCCGTGTCGGACACGGAGGGAATTCTGATCATACTTCACCACACTGGTCAGTGTGCAGTGGCGAAGACAGGGAGGGGTGTGTGGGGGAGGCCGTATCTGGTATCACGTGTCACCGATGTTAGCCGTGGTTGGGAATCGATCACGGATTCTTTGCGTGGCTGCACTGGTTGCATTTCAAATTCTTCTCCACTTTCACAAGTCACCAACCACTGTCCTCGCGGATGAGATCATGAATCTCAATGGGCTGCCGACCAGTTCGATGGCATTCATGCACCGATTGATTGTCATGTATTGATTGTTTGTCTGCGCGCTAATTGGCACTGGTCTGGTTTGAGAGTCGATGCAAATGATTTCATTGTAGAAGTGGCGTTGGCAACACATTGACAAGGATATTTTTTTTTTCAAGACATTAAACCGGTTTCCTGTTTAAACAAGCCATGGTGTGGCACTCAGTCCTGAGACAAATCATGGATATTCCACTTTACAGGGACTCCTCTACTTGCGAACATTCAACTTACGAACTTTCAGAGATACGAACAAACCTGTCCATATGTCCAGTCGCTTGTTCGGACCGCGAGTCGTAAGTTCAACAGCCGCGCAATAGATGGCGGTGGCTGTTCGGTGTCAAGCACTTGCAGAACCCAAACACTGCAAGGGTTATGAAGGTGTTGGCAGCTGATAATTGTTTTTTTACCCTTTTTTCGGGCAACAAAACTGACGCATTTTTTTTACAAGGAGTCATGTTTGCATTGACCACAAGACCTGCGGTCGGAATGCAAACAAACAACATAACTCTGATCATGTATGCACTGTCCTTTAAATTGATTGGTCCACACCCGAGACAGCTTTCCTTAGAGCCTAGTCTCACATGGTGTTGGACCAGACAGTCCAGGGTGTCAGTTTTGTTGCCAGATAAAAGAGTAAAAAAACAATTATCAGCTGCCAACACCTTCATAACCCTTGTAGTGTTTCGGTCCTGCAGTGCTTGACACTGAACAGCCACCGCATGTATTTCGCGGCTGTTGAACTTACGACTCCCGGTCCAAACAGGCGACTGGACATAGTCTCACATGGTGTTGGACCAGATGGTCCAACACCATGTGCGACTAGGCTCTAAGGAAAGCTGCCTCGAGTATGGACCAATCAATTTAAAGGATAGTGCATACATGATCAGAGTTATGTTTTTTGTTTGCATTTCGACTGCAGGTCTTGTGGTCAATGCAAACATGACTTCTTATAAAAAAGGTGTCAGTTTTGTTGCCAGATAAAAGGGTAAAAAGTCAATTATCATATTTTGCTACTGACAAAGGAGGTTCCAATGGTGTGTTGGCAGCTGTTCACGATGCAATTGCCTGTTACAAGTTGATTTATGAAGAGCAGAAGAGAGCGACTGTGCAGACACCTCTTGGTAAGTTTTTCGAGATGGTAGAGAGGAAACGCGAACACCAAAGGGAATTAGCATCTACATCTGCAGAACATGAAGAACCAGTGGCATCTACATCTGCAGAACATGAACCAGTGGCATCTACATCTGCAGAAAATAAAGAACCAGTGGAATCTATCTTCTTGGTTCTTTCAGTAAAGTCACGTAGAATGGAAATAAAATAATAAAAATAATAATAATACAATTCTCACGACGTTACGGCCACAACACCAGTAGCCTTCCTTAGGTAAAGAAACAGAACTGTCGGGAAGACAGCGCTTGAGTGAACACTGACAAGCTTGGAAGCGTCAGTGGAATCTACATCTGCAGAACTTAAAGAACCAGTGGCATCTACATTTGCAGAACATGAGGAACCAATGGCATCTACATCTGCAGAAAATAAAGAACCAGTGGCATCTACATTTGCAGAACATGAAAAACCAGTGGCATCTACATCTGCAGAACATAAAGAACCAGTGGCATTTACAGCAGCGGTGGTGCAGGAGGATCACGTTTCAAGGTCGTCAACACATCGCCACCATCGCCATCTCTCATCGTCATCGCTCTGTCCCGCCTGGGCACATCCTCCAGCAGAGTGAAATGCCTCCGTTGGCTGCCACGCCGAATCTCAAAAACGTCAGCCATCATCCCCTTCCAGCGGCCTCCTCCCGTGGTGTCTCCGACTTTGTTGATGTTCTCCAATCCCCCACGTGCCTCTCTTTGTCCCTCTCGGCGTCATTCCCAAGCACGTGGCAGCACGTACGCTTGTCAGATTGTCTTTCCCCCATTTCTACTGGGAATCTGTGAAAAAAAGAGCTTTGTATCTCATCGGATTACTCCAGTATAAATTAATATTCTGATTCTAATTTTCTTTGTCAATGGGTCGCCAAAATAGCAGCAGCAACAGCAAACAGAATAACGTGCGTCCACGAAGCAAAGAGAAATCGGTATAAAAACAGCTGCGAAATGGAAAAACACTGCGCAAATGCAAATCTGTGCCAAATAATAAACTCCCCCGCAGTGCGAGTCGGCCCGAGAATATTATCCCCAGACCACGGTGCGATCCTGGTGATCTGAGATTAACTCACGGCCATGGCTAACATCAGCAGTGGATTTGGGGCAGGCTTTCATCCAGCAATCAATCGATGATAATTATTAAACTAAACTTTTTATTTTACCGGGTAAGGCACACTGAGCTAAACGGCTTTCAACAGAAGCGACCTGGCCACACGTGATAGCTCAACGAAGTGGCTTATCGTGTGGACATATACACCAGCCAAATACTCTAAACGCATGTTGATTTTAAATGTGGAGGGAAAAACTGGAGGACCCGGAGAAAAATCCGCGCAACAACGGGGAGAGCATGCAAATTCCAAATATACAGCAGCGTCAGGATCGGGATTGAACCCACAACCTCCTGTATACCAAGTGAGGTAGTTAACATCCCTCCACCACGGCGCCCCAGCCTGCAGTCAGTCGCAGGCCCCAGCCAGGGTGGAGCGAGCACAGGCAGTGCATTCAAAAATGTTTGTAAAAAAACAGCAAAAAATATTTATAGGCCTCCTTGTTCCGCGCGACGCACTTCCACTGTTTTGTCCACCTTCTTGAGATGCGTTCACATGCAGACGCCACGTCCATACAAATTGTTAAAGTCAACAAAAAGTCGCGAGTGGTTTCCTGCTCGAATGAGCATCAATAAGTTGCTCATCTCCTGATTATACAGCCCCCGCGGAGCCAGTGCTGGAAATTCTGCATTCCCATGGCGGGAGCAAGTCTTCCCAAAAGGCCACTGCGGTTGAATGTCCCCATAAAGTGGCGCCCGTTTTATCGACCCCGGAGGGATGTTGAGCTGAGTCAACCCCTAACCGGGAGTTGAACTCGCTTCCTTTCCGATTGCGAGCCGCCCCCTCGACCGCTGTATCACGTGGCTGGATGCAATGTAAATACAAATTTATAATTGCAAACTATCCTGTTGTGATCTGTGTGCCCTAATCACTGGGCAACCAACCCGAATTGTGAAATATTAAAACATAAATATATTAACACAAACACCCAGTATAGCAACGTCGAAAAGAAACAAGAAATCAGCGAGCTGTCCGGGCAACGTGATCGATATATAAATGTCAGCTGTGCTTGCTGAGGATTGTGATGGGACTGTCGTTTGTGTCTCATTAAAAAAAAATTCTCAGCTTCAGCTATCCGACCCCGGGACTTTGATTTATATTTCCACACGGAAAAAAACAGCTGGATGACAACAGGCGGCGGCTCTTGAGGGAGTCGAGGCAGTAGCCTCGCGCTCGCAGAGTTTGATACGTTCCGTTGGCGCGGTTATTATTTTAAGGAAAGTCTTAACGCGCCGCTCGAACACGATCACGGCGCCGCTCTTTTCATTTCTATTCCTGCCCGGTGGCGGGAAGCGGGAATCTAATTCGGGTCGCCCGGTTCGTCGGAGCTCAGTGCGCTAATCACTGCGCCGCCACTTCCCCCTCCGCTGCCCCTTCCCTTTGCGCCCACTGTGGGTTAGGACTTGGTGATGGTCAAAGTTGCACTGGTGTAATGCGTTGACGTCTAATGGTAGATGTGTGTGTGTTCTTGCCCCAGTATGGGGAGCGGTAGTGGGTAGCGGTTAGCGCGCTGCGCTATGAACCCGGTGACCCTAGTTCGATTCCCGCTCACGGCCAACACCAGTGACGATTATCTGAACCTGTCCTGGGCCTCCCCTAGGTCGACTCAGCCTCAAATGAGTACCTGGTGCGGTGTGTAAATATCGCCACTGGGGAGACAAAGGTGGCCGGGCGTGGTGTTGGCCGCCCACCCTCTCGTGTGCCGTGCCGGCCTTCATAGGTGCTCGCTAGCAGCACTTTCCAAAACAGTCTGTTAAGGCTATACGGGGGATCTTTGTCTTTTGTCTTGCCCCAGTAGTCTGGTGGTAAGGGTATATCTAAAATTGGTATACGGGGCCTTTGTTTTTTGTTCCTGATTTGATTTTTCTTGCAGGGCGAAAAGGGAGAAGCAGGAGCGCTTGGACCCAAGGTGAGATGTGTTTATTATTGTATCATCATCTTCAGCATCAGCAGCCATGGTCAATCCACTGCTGGATAAAGGCCTTCCCAAGCCCCGGCACTGTCTCACGATCCTGCGATGCAACATTTAAACTTAAGCCTGCACACTAGAGCCGATTTCATCGCTCCATCTCCTTTATGTAAGTTCTCTCCGAGGCGTTCCATTCCTTGGCATCCACCCCCTTGTTATTCCTGACCGTAGGCCATCATCCTATCTCGTTACGCGCACTTTCAGATGCGCTTCTGGGGCCCTCTGGAATGCTCTTCTGATATTAGGAAGCCACTGGAGCTATGCGCTTATAAATAATTTAGATTGACAAACTAATGTCTTTAGAACTGCTTTTTGTGTTTCATTAGTTGTCCTTCCCTCACACCTGCGATTAGCACGATTGCCTGCGTATGACACCAAAGAAGTTCAGCATACATACATACATAGTGAGTGACTTCTGAGATGCGTTGTGTCAAGAGCTTCTCATTTAGTCTCACACTCGGCACAACACAGGCCGATACATATATACACACATATATACACATATATACACACATATATACACACATATATACACATATATACACACATATATACACATATATACACACATATATACACACAAATACACATATATACACATATATACACACATATACACACATATACACACATATACACATATATACACATATATACACGTCTCCTCTCACTGGGCACAACACTGGGTAATGTATATTAGTCTCTACTTTAGCTACGCACAGCCGACCTCTCGACATAGTCCCATCGCCTACATCCAACCACACAGCTGACTGACTCGTGTGACGATGACGGCGAAGGGAGCCATGCAGAGGATCTTCCATGCGGCCGGACGACGGAGAGAGATGACGGAGAGAGATGACGGAGAGAGATGAACGGCGAGCAGCGACGCAGCCAGGACTCGGGACCCCACAACAGCCCTGAACCTGCGGTTCCATCCCCCTTATATACCTCTCGGCGTGGCCAGGCCACGCCTCTGGCCACGCCCCCTTCCAGAAATTTCCAGCAGGTTCCCGGAGCTTCCCGACTAACCTCACCTTTTACCTTCAACCCAGATACGCCCCCCTTCTGATTAGTTGTTACATAACCTTGCCCATACCCGTGATTACCCTTCCAGGTCGACAGGTGGCACCCTGTTATTACACATACACGACGTGTCCTACCCAAGCCCACTTGCTTTTTATGAATAGTTTTGTCGATCTCATGTAAACCTGCCACATGTTGCATATTTTAATAATTTGTTTAAATGAATTTTATTGCAACGTTTGATTTAACGATTTTACTTTTTCCCCTCCCCTGCCCCCCCCCCCCCCCCCCCACAGGGTGACATGGGACAGCCTGGGGCAGCGGGGATCCGTGGATTGCGGGTACCTGGAGAAAAGCACTCGGGATGCGTCGTCGCCATCGCCAGCGTCACCACGAGCCGCGAATCTTAGAATCTTAACTGCGCCGCACCACTCAAACGATCCGCGGGGCGGCCGCTTCATCTCTATTGGCGGCCCCCGATACGAGTTGTGGAAATTCCACGTTCCCGTAGCAGGAGCCAGTTAATCAATCAATCGGGAGGATGAAACCATTTGACATACAGTAAGATGACCTACTTTTATGTTGCAAGTGGCAGGGATGCCGCGGTGGCGAGATGTTAACTCCCTTGCTTGGTACGCAGGAGGTCGTGGGTTTGATCTCGACCCTGACACCTGTATATTTTGAGTTAGCATGTTCTCCCCGTGGTCGCATGGATTATTTTTCTGGTCCTCTGGTTTCCTCCCTCCACATTTAGAATGGATGTGTGTTGACAGTATTTGGTTTGTCGCTATAAATTTCCAAGTGATGATAAGCCACTTCGTCGCGCTATCATTTGTGGCCAGGTTGCTTCTGAACAAGAGATATATGGTTCTCTAGCGCATCACACGTGAACTGCCAGTTCACTAACTGTGGCAGTACCCATTTACTCTGCTGAGTGGACAGGAGTGGAGGGATTTAAGAACATTGTCCCATTGCTCGAATGGCCGGGGGTTTGAACGGGCCACTTTCTGGATCGCAAGTTTGGTGCGCTAACCACGACACCTTAAACAAAGCGGTGCTCGTGTTATGTTTCACAAAAGCACGACGACAGTGCTAATTATTAACTAAGTCGACCCCCGACCTGGATTTGAAACCCGCGACCTTCACATTCTGAGCCGTGCACTCTTAACCACAGTACCACCCAGGCAGATCAAATTGCCCAGGCACTCGCTAATTAGCTGCTGCCGGCTTAATCAGTGAGTTTCCACTGAAACGCAATGAATATTCAACAAGCCTTGATGCTCCCTTTGAAATGAAATTCCCTTTCATGGCCTTGAATTTCTGCCAAATCAATTATGTGTCGAATAATAACGCGCAAACCCACGTTGCTTTACAAATTTTCGTGGCCCATCAAAAAAGGGGAGAGGGGGGGCCTTCATAACTCTTCAACGTATAACCCACCGCGTTTTATTCAGCCCTAATAGTTTTCACGGTCGTCAAACTTTACCGCGGTTCATTCGGTAAGTTAAACTTGCGAATGTACCCAGTAATTTTTGTATTAAACCACGCCAGGTCCACCTGCGTAGGTGGATGTGGTGGATGTGGACGATGCTCGGGCGTCCTTATCAACGTTGCCGAGCCGAGGCTCAAAAACACCGAGTGGCCAGCAACAATCAGAAATTTCTTATGTATATAAATAGACAAAAAATATTAGATTTTTGTTCAATGCAAGGACTCAAGGCCGTGACACTGGACAACAATGACAAAAAAAACAACCGGGCCGAGACATCCACGAGGGGTATGGACCCCATCGCGATCGATCAATGGAAGGGGGGGGTGTGGGGGTGGGAACAGTCGACAACAAACGACAACACAAAGGCACTGAAGCCCTTCCTGCTTGTCCATCGTGGGCCGGGGCTACGCTTGTACCGTCAGTCTTGGCAGCCCTTCCATGGCAGCATGCATCGGCGGCAGCCTGAAACCTGACGTCGTTTGCCCGCTCGTGGTGGGGGGTGGGGCCCCCTAATTCGGCGAATTGGAGCAGTAAGTCCCTGCCACCGAGATCCTCGTTTACACCCCCATGCACGGGTGAGACGCACAATGGAATTGTCTGTTTGTGAGAATCGATTATTTCTAATTCACGCTGCTGATGCTTCATTGAGGTGAATAGAGCGGGCAAAACTGTGCAGACGGGATGGTAAAATTTGTATAAAAATGCAGATTTTTTTTTATCTTAAAAACGACCCTGAAGTTAGTGACAATTGATTCGAATCTCTGGGCAGGCAGATCATCGCATACACCCATTCTGGCTGTGTGTTGGCTATGACTGGCTGGCTGTAATAACAACCGGCCTTTTCACCATCGTGTCAACCCTCGATGACTCGTCCGGTATGTCATCCGTCTGCGGCTGGATGCAGGGGCCAGCCGGCGTCAACGGACACATCGGGGACAAGGGAGACAAGGGAGAGCCAGGTCCGGCGGGGAGCGACGTGAGTTCCCCGTCCACGAGGCCCACGCGCCACGTGGCGTTGTCTTGAACAACTCGCGAATTGAGTCATTTGCGGTGCAAACCTTTTTGTTACGATTGGACCGCGACGCCAGCGCACCGTGGCCCAATCCCACGAATGACGTCACGGAATCTTTAACGTACACTGTGAAGCGTGCGGCGCGCATTACGGTCAGTTACACCGCCGCAGTATTAACCAGGGTGGCCGCTGGAGTCGGACCGCGAACCTCTGCAGCGAGCGGCCAACCCGCTTACCCGTTAGTCCATCGGCTTTTTTTTTGCTTTCGCTCCTTTCTCACTCCCGAAGCGTCAAACCCGAGTAAGACAGCCAAGGGCACGCACTCTTAAGAGTGTCCAAGATAACGGCTAGTTTTGTTTTACCATCGCCCCCACTCGCCTTGCTCGCCCACCTATTGTGAACAATTAGCCGGGGTCCTCCTGAAAAAAAAGTCATAAGACTCGTTGAGGTTTTCTCGGCAAAATGAGCATTATCATAATACAATTATAACAATAGTGTGTTTTATTAGGTTTGTTTTTTTTTCCTTTAAAAGCATTATCCCATGAGCCTCAAAACTAAAGCTAAACATATATTTTTTTCCCAGATAAGGCCCACTCATCCGTACAGCTTCTTTTCAGAAGCGACCTGGCCACAAATGATAGCCGAACAGAGAAATGGTGTATCACGTGGACATTCATAGCAGCAGGCAAATACACTGAATGCACATTTCTAAATAATGCTTCGATGCGAGCAGCTTCCTCGTGTGGATTAGATGCCCCTTGGTGGGTCATCTGTGGAGCGGCCACTTTCCATGCTCTCCCGAGCGACGTTATAGCCTCCCATTAAAGGGTTTGTTCGGTGTCGAATTAGCTCCACGGATTCCCCCGGCCGACAAGGGCGGGCGGCGTTTATTAATGACGCAAGGGGAAGCAAGTCGACTCGCCGGGCTTCGTACCGTTGGCATTTGCACATTGAGTTTGCCGCCAGTTAAATGACACCGTGAAAAAAAAATCGGAAGGAAACAATGTAAACGATCAATCAGCATTAATTCTTTTCGTGCTTCATTTTTTTTACAATTAAAATGTCACATCGGTATTCACGGTGCCGATGATGGATTGGATAACAATAAAAAGTCCCTCCCCTTGACCTGTGAACACGCGAACGCGATTAAAAAGCGAAATAAGTCAACTTGAAGAGTCTCGCTGCTCAGAAGGGCGTCCTGCAGATTGTACCCAACACTGTGCTGCAGTGGTCAAAATTCCACATTCCCATGGCAGAGGCCCAGTTTATCCATAGGACAAATTATATTGTCGAGTCAAAGTTTTCTCTTACATGGGCATTTGGCGGTGCCGGTCTCAATTGGCTGCCCCTGGAACAGCGGTGGAAATTCCACATTACTATGACAGGGGGGGCATTGTTTAATTTTTTTTCAAAAGGGACTCTCCAACAAAGATTTGAACTTATACAACTTTCTTTCCGAGTGCGAGTTCGAGTGCTTCAATCACGGCACCCCCTCCCCCTCTGCCCCAATTGAGCAGAGTGAGACTAATTAATTTGTCTTGACGATTCAATGAATTGTGATGAAAACCGGCTCTGAATTTCATTCAAGAATTGATTCGTGGATTTGTTTTTCCTCCTACCCTCTTGTTTGTACACTTCCGCTCAGTCCGCCTAATCTGTCTCATTTGTTAAGACTCATTTGGTTTGTTCAATATTGCATCTGTGCCGTCTGCCTTGTTCATACAAGCTTTGCTGTTAACCCTATAGTTTGTTACTGCCTCATTGGTCCCATCTCATTTGTACTCCCCACGCACGCTATGCCATTTGCAATGTCTCGTGCATTGTCTGCCCTATTTGTACTCGTTTGTGCTGTGCTTTGCTGCCCTTTGTTATTATCTGTTTTCTTTGGTTCGTTAGCCTAGAGGTAGCATGTTCATTGAGTGAGCAAATTCTGGGTGTGCATTGTAAGTGATCATCCTTTAATACACAATGTCACGCACGTATATCCTGGTCGTATGGATACAACATTTTACAAGTTTATTACTCATCACGTGCCTATTCATGAGCAGAGCCTTTAACAATATATATGTTAAATTTCGATTTAAAGCTTTCGTGACTGCAATGATTCATCTTCTTTGGTTCTTTCGGTAAAGTCACATACGTGACTTTACCGAAAGAACCAAAGAAAATATATGTTTTTTTTATAATATGACTCTTGTTCTCTTTATTTCACAGGGAACTTCAGGAGTAAATGGATCTAAGGGCAGTAAAGGGGACATGGTAAGTCACGTGCTTCATATGTTTAGGATACGGATTTGCATGTGTAGGGGAGATTGTTTAAATGCCATAGCAGAACAAGGCACCTTACATTGCATCTCATCTCAACAATTCCATTGCCCGAGCAGTTTAGCCAAAGGGAGCCCCCAGTGGCATCTGTCCTTGTGCAGCACAATGTGGATATTAGTCTGCCAGTAGGCGATGATTGATATTGCTGCATGGTTATTCCCAATTTAGTTTTTTTCCAGTACATGATCCGATTTGTGCCATGATGTATGGCGCACGTGGCAGCCTCTTACTCTCTTTCTGAATAACATCACGGGAGTTTTAATGTCCACCCTGAAGCAGATGGCGCATATGTTACGGTTACTACGCCCACAGTATTAATTAGGGCAGCCGCTGAAGTCGAACCACGAACCTCTGCAATCAACGGCAAACGTGCTGCCGCTCGACTGCCATGCCCTCCAGTATGAATACATATTCTGATTTCTGATGCCATCAATTTGAATGGGGCACCTCGTCTTCTGCTCTGCGCGGTGTCTGTGGGAACCTCTTGTAAACGGGTGGCTTATTGTGGGCTTGTAGGGGCTGTGCTAAAGACGCAGCCTGCGATGCAGTAGAAGCTGGGTTCAAAGCTGGGTTGGAGCCATCTGTGATTAAGTCGAATTCCCAAGTGCGGCGAGTTGATGGGAGCCAGCCTCATCGCCAATGGCTGCACATTGCGCAGCGGCCATCTGGAACCCACTTCCCTCCGATATTAGGAAGCCACTGGAGCTATGCACATTTAAATATAGATTCAAAACTCATTTCTTTACAACTGCTTCTTGTGTTTAATTTGTTGCTCTTCCCGCGCACCTCCGATTAGCACGGTTGGCTACGCATGGTGCGAAAGACGTTCATCATGCATACATACAAAAACTCACGTTAAAATAGGGGTTTTTTTCTCACTTTTACAGCTTATTCCAGCTGTGCGAATAAAAAAATGGCTCTAATTGACATGCAACGACCACTGTTTGGAGAGCTTATCAAACATTTTCTCTAGTTTAGATAAAGAAGCCTTTTGAAGTGACTTCAGAAGTACTTCCGTGATGTCTTCTTCTGGGGGGGCCTTCTCTGAAGCGACGTTGCGAGACTCTGCTGGCTGCAATGTTGATTGATAGCGTATATATATTTGATTTTTTTAATGGAGATTTAAATGTGTTTCTTGGGAAATGGTGTGTTTAAAAAAATGCTACTCTTTGAGCCTAATATTGCACTTTATTTGATTCCTTAATTGGCTGAAACTTTTAAAATATAAATGTTACATTTGAAAGTATATGATTTATAACCATTTCTTTGTCTGTATTCATTTGTGTTATTATGTTTATTTGTCACTGATCTGTTATGTCTGTCATGGAAACGGTGTTTTTATCGATGAATCCCACCTTAAGAGCTTGTGAGCTAACACAGTCCTTTGAAATAAATTGGACTTGAGCACTGACGACACAACTTAAATTGTGTTCAAATTTCTATGCTGAAAAAAATCTAATCAGTAGAAATCTAGTGGCAATTAAATCTAACAAGAACAAAACTTTCGCACCAATTGCCTTCCCATCAAGACATCAATCACTCCTGAAATCCGCTTTTCACGAATGCCAATTTCTGTTCATCCCATAGCCCCGGGTAGAAGGGGAACAATCGTCAATAAGCATTCATCGGTGGCTTTGCCCCGTAACAGTCCATTCATGGCTCATTCATCAACAAACCGCGCCCCGCTCGTTACTGATCTCACCTTCATTTATTTCCAGGGCGAGCAAGGCGTGCCGGGTCCTCCTGGGAAAGTTGTAAGTCCAATGCGAGCCTCTCTCCCACTCCCCCCCCCGAGCGCCGGCAAAAAAAAACCCCTTCGCTTTGCCACTTCCTGCCTGGCTAAGCAGAGCAGACGGGAGGACGGTTAAAGATCGTGGGGGGGGGGGGAGGTGTGGGGCAGTGTGCTGCTGTGTACAATTTGTTTGCTCTGTCCACTGCTGCGGGGGTTGATAGCGCGGGAGGACGGATGGTTATACGAACAGTCAAGCGACGGGGACGCGGTGGTCTCGTCGTCATCCTCATCATCATGCCCTGTCTGTGCAATGTCTGGAAGCGGGAACAGTATGGAAACCGTCAAGCTGTGTAATCGGGGCAGGTGTAAGAATTGGATTTTAATTTTATTCGTGCGCGCGCAGGGTTTGGACACTCTTAGAGCGGCGAAATTAGGTCGAACGATCCCTGCTCGTGATCGACACGACGTAGCGAGGCCTTCATCGTAGCGGTGGATGGACAAAAGGGCTTCAATGTGTACACACGTCTCCTCTTTAGTGTGGCGGTTGAAAAAATAAGATATAGGCTTCAATTGTAAGCCATTCCACGGCAACGCAGGGGGGACGGCTGGGTGAAGTCCGCTTGTTGCACCAGAACACGCGTTGGTGTATTGGCGCAGTCATCAGTGATGTACGCCTCTTGTGTGCTCGTTATGGAGCTGCGAGGAATTCTCCGCCAAACCTACGACATGATGCTGCTGCTGCTGCCAATGCTGCTGCTGATCAAGATAATGAGAATGCTGCTGCTAATAATAATGCTGCTAATAATAATGATAATACTGCTAATAATAATGATAATGCTGCTAATAATAATGATAATGCTGCTGTTAATAATAATGATAATGCTGCTAACAATAATGAAAATGCTGCTAATAATAATGAAAATGCTGCTAATAATAATGATAATGCTGCTGCTAATAATAATGATAATGCTGCTAATAATAAGGATAATGCTGCTAATAATGATAATGCTGCTAATAATAATGATAATACTGCTAATAATGATAATGCTGCTAATAATAATTATAATGCTGCTAATAATAATGATAATGCTGCTAATAATAATGATAATGCTGTTAATAATAATTATAATGCTGCTAATAATAATGATAATGCTGCTGCTATTTCTGCTGCTGCTACTCATGATGATGATGGAGATGATGATTTGATCTCCGGCCAGGAGTTGATCTCACAACTCAACAAGGTATCCTGGCCAGCTTCAACGGAATATGCCACACGCGTAATTTGCTAAATAAATTTCGTTTCACAGCCACGCAAAGTTGACCCGGGATCCTCGCTGTGCTGCATGCATTCGGACTACGATTCAACATGGACATGCTGATCTTTTTCCCAGTGGGGAAATGAGTAATGTTATTGACTTAGCATGGATGCGTAAATGTCTTATTTGGTTCTTTCGGTAAAGTCACGTAGAATGAGAATAAAATAATAAATTAATCAAATAAAATAATACAATGAAATTCTCACGACGTTTCGGCCACAACACAAGTGGCCTTCATCAGGTGAAGGGACGAGACTGTCTGGAGGACAGCGCTGGAGCGAACACAGCCAAGCTCAGACCGCGACTTTTAAGCTGTGTGAGAAGAAACAGAGCGCCTTGACAAAGGAATTAGCATAAAAAATAGCATTTAATTGGCGGACTTAGCATGATGAACGGTGTAGAGGGGGTGAACATGTGCAGACCGGCGAGTGGGGGGGAGTTTACCTATTGATGGTGTGAAAAGGGAATTTAAGCTGCTGCGAAAGTTTGGGATACCACTACTTGAAAAAATATACTGTACCATTGAAAATTAGTTTAATGTTTGGTTCGGATAATTTAGCATTGAAATAGCTGCGTGATTAGCTTGTGACTGGTCATAGAAATAGCTATGTTAAAGTCAAAGCCTTCACATCCACAGAGGCACCTAGTACAAATCAAACAGGAGAATTTAGCATTGAAATAGCTGAGTGATTTATTGTGTTATTTTATTTGATTATTTTCTTATTTTATTCTCATTCTACATGACTTTACCGAAAGAACCAAAGAAGATGAATCCTTGCAGTCACAAAAGCTTTAAATCGAAATGTATGCATAAATGTGTTGAATTGTTTGGCCTTAATCTGGATTACATGGGTCTCAAAGCCCTTCTGCAGGTTACATCTTGATACGTCTCCAACTGCCTCTTGAATGCCATGATGTTCCACACAACATATGGGAGCACATTATTCTGGTCATTTACATAGGCCGAATTTATAGAGTCTGAATGTTATGTTTTATGTATTTATATAATTATATATCATGGGATCCTGCCACGGTGTAACGGTCAGCACATTGCGCTCGCAATCCAGAGCTCGCCAGTTCAGTTCGATCTCCCAGAGCACGCTGGTGGTCGAGACGAAGCATCTTCAATTTCCTCTGCCGCCACAGTTTTTCACCCATCGGGTGCGGCACAATTAGTCGGTCAGCTGAGCTGGTCACGTGGGGTGGGTTGAAGTGCGGTGGGGTAAAGTGTGGGTACTCCCACCCCTTCCAAGACATTTGACCAGTACTTAAGAGTCAGCCCCATACCCTCTTATCGAGCAGCGGCATGAGGAAGCAATTGCAGGGCTGCACCTTTACCTATATAGGTTGTTATTGTTGTTGTTTTCTCAGTCCAGTGTCTATGATGTTGTTTGCACTGCTGCTTCTGTCCCCCTGCAGATTGAGGTTGAAAAGACCCTCGCGGGAGATAAAGGCGACAAGGTCGGTCATGTTAAAGTTTCAGCAAATGCCTTTTTTTTTTGCATTCTTTTACAAACAATCTCTGATTGTATTCCTGCTCTCAAGTCAAAGCGATGTTCTACTCATACGATGCGGTGCTCAACTCCTCTGTACATCCCTGAAGCAGTGGTGGAAATTCCACATTGCTATGATGGGGGGGGGGGCGGACGGGGGGGGAGGAGTCTCTCCATAGAACAACCACTGTTTGACGTTGCCCGTAAATTGGTGCTCATTTTATCGACTCCGGAGGAACGAGCGATGGGCTGAGTCAACCCTCTACCAGAAGCTGAACTCGCGACCTTTCGATCGTGAGCCACTCTGCCCTCCCGCTGAGCCACCCGGCCACTTCTCCCTTTCCCCCTCGCTCCTCGTTTGAGCAGGGAGATGGCGGGACTTGATTGATAATTCATCGCCGCACTCTTACCCGTGCCACCGATGTCTTCGCGGTGAAAATGAGGTCACGGCCGGGCTGTCCTCCAAGGTCGACTCGTCGTCGAGGCGCTCGTCAAGATGCCCGCGGCCAGATGCCGAGTGAGCGAGTGTCCGTGTTCTTCCCCCCTCCACGACAGGGGGAGCACGGGGACCCCGGAGAAAGTGGAATAAATGGCCAGAAGGGAGACAGAGGACCCATAGGCCTTCCCGGGGACCGGGTGAGCGATGCACTCGGGTGACGAGCTATCGTGTTCGTGAACGAGCGCGCAAAAACAACTCGCATTTGCATTGTGTTCGTAACGTGATGGACGTCTCAAACCACAGGGTGTTTTTTTTTTCCCCTCCGGGGACCCCCTGGTGACAGCTGTCCCTGTGTGGGCACAGGGTGAGCACAGCGTCGGCCTGAATGTGTGTTTACAGTAGGGGGACGATGATGCTCTTCGTTTTCCATCGAAATAATTTGCACTCGCTGTTATTTTCTGTTCACAAATTTGGCCTACTCTTTTTCGTATAACGCCACAGGATCTTTGACACTCTGCTCTGAAGCAGACGACGCGGAATAATGTATGCTCATTAAATCCGCAGTATTAACCAGGGAGGGGCGCAGGGTCTGAACCACGAACCTGGGCATCAAGCAGCACACGCACGACCTCTCAGTGATGTCACCGCCCCATGCACACGCGTTTATATAATCTGTGTGTGCGTATGTGGTGTGACCGGCTCCGGTTTGACAGCAAAGGTCTAACTTCGAATCAGTTGAGCAGCATTATTTATTCATTGGTTGCGTAACGCTGCGTGGAAGCTATCTGGTCTATTGCTCCACACGAAGCTCCAGGTCTTCTCGTCCACACTCATGCCCTCCCTTCTTTACTCTTGCGAAACGTGGACCCCCCCTAATGGAACATCTTCGCCGGTTAGAAACATTTAGCCTGGCCTGCCAGCGATCCATCCTGGGTTTAATCAGGCTGGATTGTGTGAGGAGCTCGCAAATCCTTGAATGATCTGAACAAAGTCCCATCGGTGAGCTCCTACGGCAGGCAAGGCTGCGTTGGCTGGGCCATGTAGCCCGCATACCCAGCCACCGCATGCCTAAACAGCTTTTGTTCGGCCGGATAGAGGGGGCTAAACGGGCGCGGCACGGGCTAGAGAAGAGATGGAGTGATACAGGAGGATGTGGAGCTGAGTGGACTTGCCGATGACTGGTACTAGTGGTGTCAATATTGGCCTCTGTGGAGGAGGCTCGTGAAAGATGCTACTGCGCAGTTGGAGGCAGTCGCCCTCCAACAACAATGGAGGACGAGGAGCGATGCTCACAACAATGAGTGGAGTGCCGAGTGGCTAAAACACAGCAAGTTGGAACAGTAGGGAGCACAGGTGGTGCATCAGCCAGTCATCTCAGTCAGTCGACCCGTGGCACCTGGGTCTTCCCCGTGACCTCCTGCCAGCGGGCGTCAACACTTCACGTGGCCTCAACGTGCACATAGCTTGGCACAACCACCGTGGTGACGTCTCTGCCACTTAGTGGCGAATGGCGGTTGTTTGTTGTTGTTGGTATGCTGGGCCTCCCCTAGGTCGACTCAGCCTCAAATGAACACCTGTTGGAGTGTGTAGTAAGCATCGCCACTCGGGAGACAAAGGCAGCCGGGCGTGGTGTGCTGGCCACCCTACCCCTCATGTGCCGTGTGCCGGCCTTCATAGGTGCTCGCTAACAGCACTCGCCCCAACAGTCTGTTGAAGGCTCTACGGGGGACCTTTGTCTTTGGTGTGCTGGTGCGTGGTGTGCTTTGTCGGCCCTAATACGTGCTCACAAATGGCACATTCCTCTATGCTCTATAAGGCCAAGCGGGGAATCGCTGTATGTGGCTGGCCTCAGAAGGCAACAAATCAATAAAATTATTGATTTAAAACCAGAGTGAAAACCCTGTGAGAATCTTTTCGTGGAGACCCGTGTCAAACATGGGATGTACATGACAATTACTGTGATTGTAAATGTCCACAACAGAGTCTGGTGTTCAAACCCAGGTTTTTTTGCCGCGATGATTAATCTGGGTTCTCAGGCGCCCAGAGAGTTGATGGTCTCAGGCCAATTGCCCAGCGGCCGTCGCGATGGATTTGGTGCCGACCTGGCTAAATTCCAGTCTCATAGAATGGAAACATATTTTTTTTGGCTGCCATGCGACGAACATTCGTTTCACAGAGTGTGTCAAAAAGTGCAACCCGCTGCTTTGTGCGTTGAATGAGGTCCCATTGTATGGAGTGCACTTGGCAGTAGCAATGTGGTCAATAGACCAACATTTGTTTAACCACCCTAACACTGCTGAGGAAACCCAGTATGCGTAGAAACTGGTCCAGAGTTTGTTTTGCGTTAAACAAATGTTGCTTGACAATATTGGTCTGGAAAGCGCATCGCCTGATAGACCAAAACGTGTTTTTGTTCACATGTTCAGTCACAGGACGCAATCTTGCTTATATTTGCTTTTCAAGGGATCTAAAGGTCTTGAAGGATATGTCGGGAGAGGGCCGGTTGCAAAACCTCTCCGGCAAACCAATGCCTGATGCATGGGGTGCATTGCCCATCGATATTTCCCCAATGGCTTCTAAATCTCTTGATAAGTTGCCAGTGGGAGGACTCCACGTGCGATCAATTGGTGCCCACCACCGCTTTGTATCTCCCTGGCCTGGTATGCGATAGACCGTGGGTTCGATCCCAGACCCTGACGGCGATGCCTGTGGTATATTTGGAGTCTGCGTGTTCGCTCTCTCTCTCTCCCCGTGGTGGTCGCTTGGATTTTTCTCCGGGGCCCCTCCGGTTTTGCCCCCCACCTACCACACATTTAGAAACAACATCATGCGTTTAGATTATTTGGGTGCTACTATAAATTCCCGCGTGTGGTGATGATATCAACCACTTCGATGAGCGACCATGTAGGGGCCATGTCGCCTCTGAAATAGAGGTCACAGCTCGGTGGGCTTTAGCTGTGTAAAATAAAACAGTTTAGCTGCCTTCCATATAGAATATCCTCTCAGCTGCATTGTGAGCAATTGTCACGTTGAGTGAGTTTCATTTAAATATGTAAAAAGGATGAGGCTGGAGCTCGTTCCACGTTGAAAGCAGCTCTGGGTCTGAATGAGGGAGAAGCGTGTTTGGGGTTGTTTTTTTTTGTATGGACGGTTAAAAAAATATTTCAATAAATTGGTTTGCAAACGTTCCAAAGAAATGAGTAATGGGTTGGTTGTTGGTGGTCATGGCCAGCTCCTGGTGTTATGGCAAAAGGGGGCTCGTTCTGAATCAGCTGAGAGGCATTTTCGTTCCGTCGGCTGCGCAATGTTGTGTTGGAAGCTGCCTGGCCTGTCGCTCCGCATGACGCTCTCGGGTTATCTTCCACCAGAGTCGTGCCCTCTCTTTGTGCCTTTGCAATGGACCGGCCTTTAAGGGAGGGTGGGGGGGTAAAACCTCTGCAATAACGTGCAATATTCAAGGCTGGTCTGCAGACAATATTGTTGGTTTAACTGGGCTGGACTGTGTGAGGGGGCTCACCGATATTTCAACGATCTGGGTAGAGTTTCACTTCCCACGCAGAAAATACTCAAGATAGAACTCACCCTACTTGCTAAACATGAACCTGCATCAACAAAAAGACTCGTGTGACTCACTGAAATTGTCCTGGGATATTATTAATTCAACCAGGTAGCGTTAGTAATAAAAAATATAATAAAATATATTACCAGAGTTATATTCGGAATATCATTCTATTTTTTTTCTCTTCAAATTATAATCCAATTACGCTGTCAAGTCCCTGCGATGAAACAGACGTTTTCATTTATCGCAGTTGGTGAGTGATGTACCTCCACCTCATTGACGTGGAAGTTAACGTCACCAAACGAATTCAGCATGTGACGTCATCATAGGGTTTGTCCCCTTTTTTCTGGCAACAAAACTGAAACCTTTTTACAAGGATTCATGTCTGCATTAACCACAATACCTGCAGTCAAATTGCAAACAAGCAAAAAAAAATACTATGATAATATAGGACAATGCATATAAATGCAAAACTGAAACCTTGTAAAAAGGTTTCAGTTTTGTAAAAAGGTTTCAGTTTTGTTGCCAGAAAAAAGGGGAAAAACCCTGTTATTACATTTTGGTACTGGCAAAGGAGGTCTAATGATGTACAATGTGACGTCATTCAGATCCAGGGAACCAGGCTGGTCCTGCATTGTCCGTGTTTTCGCCTTTTTTGTTGAGCACGTGGGGGCTACATTGGAGGACTTGGAGGAAACCCACGTGTTTGAGAGGACATTCAAATGTCCACACAGATGGGTTCTCAGGAACCCATTTGCTGGGATGAATGTACGTCCTAGCTACATCGCAGCTACAGTGGGGTTTTTGAGTTTCACAGAGCCACATGCTTTGCCCACCCTTGCCTCCAAAGCGCTGAAAGTACAAGTGCTCACCACCACGCTTGTACGTATGCACGTTGAACTCCTTTCGCACCGTACGTAGCCAACCGTGCTAATCTGACGTGCGGGGGGGAAGTACAACAAACTAAACACAAACAGGCAGTTCTCAAGAAATTCGTTTTCAAGCTAGATTTAAGAGTTCGCAGCTCCAGTGGCCGCAGAAGCGCATCTGAACGCGCGCGGTGCATTGGCGGTCTTTGTTCGGTGGCCAGCCAAAAGCCACTGCTGCGGGGATGACCGGCTACCGTCGGGCCAAACCTCTGATAAAAAGGTTAAAGTGCAGCCCTGCATTCGCTTGCTGATGCCACTTTGCTAGTGGAAGGGCCCAACACTTGAGGGGAGCTCTAGAGGGCTTCTCTTGAGGGTGTTTTGGCCTACTCTTCCACGCTGGCCGGGCGTCTCGGAAGAGGTGAGCGTACTCACGTTCACCCCTGCCACACACGACCCGCCGGGCTGTGGTAGAACCCGATTATGCTGTTGCGTGGACAGAGGCGCAGTAGAGGGGTGACTTTAAAACCTTGCCCCATTGTCTCGACTGCCACGTGGCCTCTGGGTTGCAAGAGCGGCGTGCTGACCGTTTACATTGCTGTGGCAGCATCCAAACCTCGTGTATGCCACGCTAATAGTGTCTGTTCCTCAACAATCAAATCGAAATGTTTAAGTCTCGAGAGCTGGAAGAGAATCAAAAATAATCTTAACTTTATATTTATGCAGTTGTTCGTTACTGAACATCTGTGAAAAAGAGCTTCATAGCTCATCG